CATAAAATATTAATAAAAAAAAGTTAAAATTATTGAATATTTTAATAAATTTCTAAATATATAAATTCTAATTAATCTAAAAAAAAATAATTATTCGATATTCAGATAAAAAAATTAATGTAAACCCACCCCTAAAATATTCAATATTAAACCCTGAAACTAATTCTGACTCACCTTCGATAAAATCTATAGGACTTCGATTTAATTCAGCTAAAATCCTAATAAAAAATATAATAAACAAAGGATATAAAACTACTATATATCATAAATAAAATTGATAATTAATAAAATCAAAAAAAGAATATCTCTCTCTTATTAATATAATAACTAAAACAATTAAAATAAATCTTACTTTAAATGATAATTTTGTGAAACTGATCGTATTGCCCCTATTTTGAATAAATCGAATTAGCTGATCATCCCATAAAAATTATAACATACCCTCTAATAGTTATAAAACAATTATTAATAAAATAGAATAATTTAAAAAATAAATATTAGTAATGTAAGGAAATACTAATCATATTATTATTAAAACAAATCTAATTATAGGACATAAAAAAAATTATAATTAGATTTATATACATAAAATAATTCTTTATTAAGTAATTTAATAGCATCACTAAAGATTGAAATAATCTTATAAATCCCACCTTTATTAGGTTCTTTACGAATTTGTACATATCTTAAAATTTTTTGTTCCAATAAAGTTAAAAAAGCTACCCAACTAATATAATTAATAACAAAATTAACAATCTTAATATATTTAACGCACTATAAAAATAATCTTAAATTTTGACAAATTATTACTTGTATAATTTTTTTCTATTATACATCATTTAAATTCTAAATTTAATACACTTAAATTCTGCCAAAGTAATTTTATTTATTTACATATATTTAATCAATTAAATTTATTCATTAAAAAAAATATAATTTGAAAAAAGTCCTTTCGTACAAAATTTTCTTAATTTTATTATAGATAGAAACCGATCTGGCTTACACCGATCTGAACTCAAATCATGTAAAATTTTATTAGTCGAACAGACTAAAAATTAAACTTCTTCATTTAATTTTTATTTTAATTCAACATCAAGGTCGCAATCATTTTTATTAATATAATCTTTCTAAAAATATTACGCTGTTATCCCTAAGGTAATTAATTTTTATAATAATTATATAATAAAAAAAAAATTTTCTTAATTTAATAATCAATCCTTTATAAAAATTTCATTAATTAATGTTAAAATTATCTTTAAATTAAAGTTTATTTTATTTAATTATCCTCCCAATAAAATATAATCATTAAAATAAAATTTATTTCCTTAAATAAATTTAAAAATTATATTAAATTCAATAGGTTTTTCTTCCATAATTTCTTTTAAGAATTTTAACTACTTAAAATTTAAATTTTAAATCTACAAATTGAAACAGCTTTAATTTCATCAATTCCTTCATTCCAGTTTTCATTTAAAAAACAATTGATTATGCTACCTTTGCACAGTCAATATACTGCGGCTATTTAAAAATCACTGAGCAGAAATAATTTTAAATTATCAAAAAACCATGTTTTTGTTAACAAGTAAATTAAAATTTTAATTTAATAAAATAAATTTGCCTAATTCTTTAATTATATATACATATATATTTTAAATTTAAAATTTCTATATAATTAATATAAATATACTTATACTATCATTATTTATTAAAATACTTAATTTATTTAAAATATTTTTTTATTTAATTAAATCAAATTTTCAAATTATTATTATATTTAAATTAGAATAATCCATTCCATAATAAATTATTAAATTTTTATAAAAAATTTTAAAAATAAAAAATATTTTTCTATTTAAATCATTTATATTCATAAAATATTTTAATTATAATTTATAGTTAATCCCATAAATTTTTTTACATAAATTTACTATTAAATTTTATTATTAATTTAATTAATTGTAAATGATTATATATAAATTAAATTTATATAAAAAAAACTAGATATCATAAAAGTGGATTAAAATATCTTTTTCAAATAAATATTTAAAATAATTTTATACATTAACTTTAATATTTATTTAATCATTTTATTCCGAGAAATTTAAATTATTCCAATAAACAACAAAATTTATAATCCCTGATACAAAAGGTACAATTATAAAATTTACTTTTATTTAATTAATTAATTATTTTAAATTTTCATTTACATTACTTATATCTATAATATTTATTTAATTTTTTTTAATACTTCAACAATTCAAAAACTAACTCTATTTAATTTTTTATTATAATTTTATTTAATTAAAATAATCACACACACAAATCATATTAAATTTTTCATAAATATTTAAATTTAATTTTTTTTTATTTTAATAAATCATATTAAATCATTAATCTTTTCAATGTAAATAAAATATTTTTAATAAACTAAAATTTTTTTTTATTTTAAATACATTTCCAATATATTTACTTTGTTACGACTTTTCTTACAAATCATAATTAATAAGAACGGCGGGCAATTTGTACATAATTTAAATATAATTCAACTTATAATTTTTATAAATTTACATTTAAATCCTTTTTAAATAATAAATTTAAATATAATTTACAAAAAAAATATTTTTTCAATATAACTCATCTAAATCTTAATAATTCTACATTTTGATTTGAATTTAATTTATAATATAAATTTATAATTAAAATCTTCTCTTAATTTAATTTTCAACATATATAAAATATTTATTAAGTTAATCCATTTGTGGATTATCAAATTAATCAACAAGTTTTTCTAATATAATAAATTACCGCCAAATTTTTTATTTTTAATGCTTTACATTTAATATTTAATTAATTTATTTTTATTTAAATAATAGGGTATCTAATCCTAATTTCTTTTAAACTTAATTAGAAATAAATTTTCCAAAATAAATTTTTTTTATTAACTAAAATTATTACATTTCACTATAAATAAAATTAAAAAAAAAATATTTAAATCTCCTTTTTATATTCTTTAAATTATTAAAATTTATTTATTCTTATCATCAGTTTAACCGCAATTGCTGGCACCTAAATTTATTATAAATATAAATAAATTATCTATTATAATTTTTATTAAATAATTATTTTAAATATTAATTAATCATTAAAAATTATTTAAATTTTTAAAAATTTTTTATAAAAATTTATTTATATTCAAATTTTATAATTAATTTATAGAAAAAAAATTATTTCCTTCCCTACCTTATTCACTAATTTATCATATTTATCTAATTCATTTATTTTTTAATCAATATATAATTTAAATTAATATTAATTTAATAAACATTTAATTTATATATTGACTAAAAAATAAATATGACATTTCCTACCACATTCACTAATTATCATATTTATCTAATTCATTTATTTTTTTATTATTTATAAAATACATTTTATAAATAAGTAAAATTTTATACAATTTTTTATTACATAAATTTTTTTATAAATATAATAAATTATTTATTATATATATTTTTATTTAATTATTTATATAATAATTATATTTTATATAAATTACGCACACGGATAAGAAATATTTTACATTTGCTCATCCCATATAAAAATATAAAAGTAATGGAAATTAAATTTTACATTAATTTATACTAGTATTATGAGGTAGTTAATACATGAAAATAATATAAGATGAATTCTGTACATCGATTAGCATAATATGATTACAAGTCAATAAATGATTTTGCTAATATATTATTTTGAATAAAAATTAAAAAAATATAAAAACAAAAAGAATGAAAATTAATAAATTTTCTTCATTCTTTGTTTTCTTCTTCTATTAATTATTTTTTCTATTATTTGAATAAAAGATGTATCGTGTGTAATAGATTAAATAGATAGATAATTTATATAAATATATAATTATACGTTTTGAAATTTATATATATATATATATATATATATATTATATATATATTAATTTCATATATACATATATATAAATTATTATTTATCTATTACATACGATACGCCTTTTATTCAAAATAAAAATAATAGAAAAAATAATAGAAAAAAACAAAGAATGAATAAATTTATTCATTTATTTTTATTGTTTTTATAAAATTTTTATTCAAAATAATATATTAGCAAAATCATTTATTGCGACTTGTAATCATAATATTACGCTAATCGATGTACAGCATTTATCTATAAGATTTCCATATTGTTACTACCTCACAATACTATTATAAATAAATGTGAAATTTAATTTGCATTACTTTTATATTTATATATAATGAGCAGATGTAAAATATTTCTCATTCGTGTGCGTAATATATTGGTTTTTGTATTTATACTGATTTTCACATATCAAATGCAAGAGAGACAAAGATAGAATGATACTCTCTCCTTGTCAAGCTGTCAGTATGTTACCACCAAAAATTTCCCATGAGTATAGATCTAGTGAGATTTGTTCATCCCAAATATTACATAAAAGAAGTTACGTAGCTTCGTGAAATATTTTTTATATATTCTTTATATAATAAAGCAGGGAGACAAAGAGTCAAATTTTGCATTATTGCTCTTAAAAATTTATAATAAATTAAATACGATCTCGTGGCTAACCCAACCTTACCGCTGCTAGCTGCGCATCTTCCCAAGTTATATTATGAATTTTATATTTATCTTTGTTCCAAAAAATCGATCTTTGTCTCCCTGCGGACAATCCTACTGATTAAAATATCGTAAATTTATAAGATTCATTAATATTTTGATAATATATGGATGAACGTATTATAATTATAATTAAAAGATAGGAATATAAAAATTTTACACCCTTAATATTTATTATTTTTATTATAATAAAAAATTTTAAAAATATATATGTACATTGCACGATTAATATTTCGAACATATCGATATATCGACTACCAATACGATAGATAATTACTAGAAAGTTCCTGACGTAACAAACAATAGCCAACTTGTTTTTGCGTTTAGTTGGAGAGAAAATCGTAAAGACGCTATAGGTGCTTGGCAACGTTTGATTGACCAATCAAAACTAAGTTAATAAAGAATTCTTAACATTCGTAATCTTTCGTCCCGCGCATTCAGTCTTCATTACTTTCAAAAATATTACGTCTTTGCATTTTGCATATTACGTCTTTGTTGCGAAGAACGAATACACGGTGAAGAAGTAGGAAAAGTTCTTATATCAAATTTGACACAAAGAGCTCATAACTCATATATTCTGTAGCAAGTATATAAGAAGATTCTGATTTGTATTAATTATCTACAAGATGCCTCGACAAACAAAGAAACGGTCGAAAGTACTTTCTGACAAAATGGAATCAAATATCCTGGATCCAGTTTCAACAATAGAGAACAAACAGCATGTAGATACTAACGAAAGTGAGGTAAGAAAGAATGTAAAAATTTAAATTAATTGTAATCTGCATTATTCATACAGATGTCAATTAGTTTTAATTAATAAAAACAATTTCTTGCATGTGTAATAGAAATTAGGTAATATAATATATTGCATAATTTAGGCAACATACATAATTATAAAAAAATATATATGTATATGTATATATTTTATGATGCATTTTATTTATATGCATATGATCAAATATGTATAAACCTATCGTTAAAGTACAATATGTTATGACACAACATATGAAGAAACATACTCATGTATGAGAAATATAATAAAACTTTATTATATATCTACTCAATTTACAAAAACTTGATTGAATAATCCAATTTGTTGTTTTACATTTTTGAAAGATTTACTTTCTGCTAAATGTCTCTAGACAGGTAATGACGATTTATTACAAAATGAATATTAAAAATATTTTATTTATACATATTAATACTGTTTAAAATTGATTGTGCCAAATATAATTATTATATAATAAATAAGGTTATATTTGATCCTGTAATATCCAGAAAATATTAATTTATTTGTCTTGTTACAGAAAAATTTAGCGAAGAATGATAAAGAAAATCTATTAAAAATAATTGCATTGTTAGAAGACAAAGTACAAACAATCGTTGCTGAGAACTTGCAATATGGAAAAAGAATAAAAAATGAAGAACAAAAATGGCAAGAAGCATTAAATATGAAAACACGACAAATAAAAATGTTTAAAATAAAAATACAAAAATTGAGAAAACTACAAATACAGGAGAAAAAAAAGATGGAACGTAACATTAAAACATTAAATGCGGTAATCGAAAAATTAAAGAAGAATTCCAATAAGGATTTAATAAGAGTAGTTTCTGAAATAAGTACGGCGGATTTAACAGCAAGATTTAAAGGTATGTTTTAACAAATTTTATATGTAAATTGTTTTATATAGAAAAAAACAATGTTATTTTTTAGTTGTATATTTTTATAGTGCAAATTTTACAACAGTTAAACTTTTATATAATTATAAACTATTGAGAATCTTAGTTTTCTATATCTTTATTCTTTACGTAAATAGTAATTTAAATTATTTCAAATATAATATGAGAATAATTATATATTTGCAGAGGTTTATGAGCCACTAAAGCAGTCAGGATATAAATTTGATGTCAAAGATGCGAATCAATTTATCAAGAATTATAGTATTGTTAGAAGGTTACTGGATAAATCATGTTCAGATTCTCCAATTTCTTCAACTTCTTCAATGGATAAAATGGATTACATAGAATCGGAGGAAGATATGGATAAAGAATCAGAGGAAGATACGGATAAAGAATCAGAGGAAGATACGGATAAAGAATCAGAGGAAGATACGGATAAAGAATCAGAGGAAGATACGGATAAAGAATCAGAGGAAGATACGGATAAAGAATCAGAGGCAGATACGGATAAAGAATCAATGGAAGATGTGGCTAAAGAATCAGAGAAAGATATGGATAAAGAATCGAAGGAAGAAAAAAAAGAAAGTAAGGATTAATTGTTTTATATTTATAATCTGATAGTGGTTTTCTCTTTAATTTGTTTAATATATATATTTGTTGTAATATTTTAGTATTAGAAAAAGAGTAATGAGAATTAAAAGGCAAAAGGATGCAGATAATAGAATTTTATGTTTACATCACATATAGGTACACAAAGAGAAACGTACATTTAATTTTTATTGTGTTAAAGTTAACGATGTACCAGATTCATACATATGTAACCATATTCTTTATGTTTTATGTTCAAAAGTTATAAGTTTCTCTATATGAGAAATTTTTTAAATATATTTTTATTTTTAAGTTTTGATAATATAAAAACTATGGAAGATGTAACTATGCAATAAAACTTGTATAATATGTACAATTATAAACAAATATGTATAGTATCTCATTTTTAATTTTTTTTTCAATTGCTACTTTAATATAGGAAAATTAAATTTTGCATTTGTTTACTTTTAATAAAAATATATATTAATTTTTCGAACGTATTGATAATGATAATATCGATTAGATAATTTCTAGAAAATTTTAATGTAACAAATCATTGCCAACTTATTTTTTCATTTAGTTTGCACTCTCTAGAAATTTAGTTGGGAAGAAAAATCAGGAATACCATACAGGTGCTTCGAAGCGTCTGATTGACCAATTAAAACTAAGTTTGTAAAGAATTCTTTGTCATGATTGGTTAATGCTTCGCGCGACTTTATATTCGTGAACTTTCGTCTTAGGTCTTCAATCATTTGTTTCAAAAATATTACGTCTTTGCATTTTGCACGTTACGTCTTTGTTGTGAAAAGCGAATACGCTATAAAGAAGTAGTTTTTCCATCAAATTTGACACACCAAGGGTTCATAACTCATATATTCTGTAGCAAGTATATAAGAAGATTCTATATTAATTATAATTGTATTAATTATCTATAAGATGCCTCGACAAACAAAGAAACGGTCGAAAATACTTTCTGACAAAATGGAATCAAATATCCTGGATCCAGTTTTAACAACGAAGAAAAAACAGCATGTAGATATTAACAAGAGTGAGGTAAGAAAGAATGTAAAGATTTAAATTAATTGTAATCTGCATTATTCATACAGATGTCAATCAGTTTTAATTAATAAAAACAATTTCTTGCATGTGTAATAGAAATTAGGTAATATATTTTTTTTTATAATTATGTATGTTGCCTAAATTATGCAATATATTTTATATATATATATATTTTATGATGCATTTTATTTATATGCATATGATCAAATATGTATCATTAAAGTACAATATGTTATGACGCAACATATGAAGAAACATACTTATGTATGAGAAATATAATAAAACTTTACAAATAATTTCTTGCATGTGTAATAGAAATTTGTATATTTTTTTATAAGCATGTATATTGCGCAAATTATGCAATATATCATATATATATATATTTTTTTTTTATTTTATATGCATACAATTAAATGTGTATAAACCTATCGTTAAAATATACAATATGTTGTGGCACAACATATGAATAAAAAATATATATTCATGTACAGATAGTACATATATGAGAAATATAGTTAAACTTTATTATCTGTTCAATTACAGAAACTTGATTGACTGATCCCATTTGTTGTAACATTTTTTAATGTTTTATATTTTGCTAGATGTCTAGACATGGGAAATGACAACTCATTATGAAATCAATTAAATATATTTATACATATTAATATTTAAAATTTACGTTTATACATATTAATACTTAAAATACTTTAAAATTGATTGTGCCAAATACAATTAATATATAATAAATAGGATTATATTTGATCCTGCACTATCTAGAAAATGTTGATTTGTTTGTTTTGTTACAGCAAAATTTAGTTAAGAATGAAGATCTATTTAAAAAAATTGCATTATTAGAAGACAAAGTACAAACAAGCATTGCTGAGAGATTGCAATATGAAAAAAGTATAAAAAATGAAGAACAAAAATGGCAAAAAATATTAAATATGAAAACACAAGAAGTAAAAATGTTTAGAATAAAAATGCAAAAATTGAGAACACTACAAATGCAGGAGAAAAAAAAGATGGAACATAAAATTAAAATATTAAGACAGAGAATCAAAGAAGTAAAGAAGAATTCTCAGAAGAACATAGAAAGAGAAATTTCTGAAATATGTATAGCAAATTTAACAACACAATTTAAAGGTATGTTTTAATAATTTTAATAAATTGTCTTATATATAGAAGAAAACAATACTATTTTTAAGTTGTATATTTTACAGTGCAAATTTTAAAACAGTTAAACTTTTAAGACAGTTATAAATGATTGAAAATCTTAGTTTTCTATATCTTTATTTTTATGCAAATAATAATTTAAATTATTTCAATTATAATATGTGAATAATTATATATTTACAGAAGTTTTTGAGCCTCTGAAGCAGTCAGGAAATAAATTTGATGTCGAAGATGTGATTGCATATTTCAAGATTAATAAAAACGTGATTGTCAAACCTAGACTGAATTAAACATCTTCAGATTCTTCAACTTCTTCGAGTTCTTCAAATCTTTCATGATATACACATATGATGTACTATGCATTATCTATGGATGAAATGGATGATAACAAATCAGAGGAAGATACGGATCAAGAATCACAGGAAGATATGGATAAAGAATCAGAGAAAAATATGGATAATGAATTAGAGAAAGATATGGATAAAGAATCAGAGAAAGATACGGATAAAGAATCAAAGGAAGAAAAAAAGAATAAAGTAAAGAAATATTTTAATTATTTTATATTTATAATCTGATAATGATTTTCTCTTTAATTTGTTTAATATATATATATATATAATTTTTTGTTGTAATATTTTATCAGCAAAGAAGTAACGAGAATTAAAAAGCAAAAGAATGCAAATAATAGAATTTTATGTTTACATCACATAGGAGCACAAAAGAGAGAAACGTACATTTAATTTGTTATTGTGTAAAAGTTAATTAACAATGTACCAGATACATATATATGTAGTTATATTTTTATGTTCAAAAGTTGTAGGTTTCCTTGTATGAGATACTTGCAATATCTTGTATACTTTTTTTATTTTTAATTTGTGATATAAAAACTATGCAAGATGTAACTACACAATAAAACTTGTGTACAATACGTTCAAATATAAATAAATATGTATCTCGTTTTTAATTTTTTTTATTTGATTGCTATATTTATAATGTAACAAAATTCAATTTTTACATTATTTTTTGTGTATTTCATATATTGTTTTATCTTATAATTAAATTAATTTTAATAAAAATCTCCATTCTTTTTTTTAAATATAAGTTATCTACATTTATCCTTAAGATATATTTTTTATTTTTCTGTATTAAATTGGATTTATTGCATTTTCGTCTGTATTTTGGAATGCAAAAAAACACTTTCTATATATAGGTATATAATTTTTTCATATTAAGATTAAAATTCAGTTTTATTGTTTTTCTTTGCCTCAATTTATAGAGAGCTTTACATTTTTCATTCAAATTTTTCGACTACTCGTTTCTTGTCACGTGACTGATTTTTATATAGTCGCTGGTTGTTGGCTGCTCGTATCGAGTTTGTATAAATGAATTTATCCCGCACGTGTTTTCAAAATATAATTTGTGTATTCTGAAGGAAAGATGCAGGTTTCCGCACCAAATAATATAAAAATTTACAACCTTAGCGCTGGGAAATCTCTTCCCGAGGTAAAATTATCAATATATATGTTCGCAACTTGTTTTAGGTTAGACATGATTTAATCATGTGAATTTTAATGCTTTATAGTGGTTGTCCGAGCGAAAGAGAAGAAGTTTATCAAAGAAGAATATCGGTAAGAGAAAATTATTAATTAATGTAAAAAAATTCACTCAAATTACACCTTTAGAATTTTTTTGGTATGTCATATATACACATACACACAATAAATATAGATTATATAGAAAAAGTATACTATGAAAAGTCAATTTTTTATATTAAAAAAAGATTGCCTTTTTTTCTAAATATATTTAATATTGTAATTGTTTATTAATAGATGTACGACGACGTATCGACCTTATACAAGACTTTGACATGCCTGGTGTGAGCACATCTCTTAGGGTATCCAAAGATAAGCAGCATATTCTTGTAACAGGCATTTACAAACCACGTATAAAGTGTTTCGATGTTCATAATTTGGCATTGAAATTCGAGAGGTGTTTCGATTCTGAGGTGGTCACTTTTGAAATACTATCAGATGATTATAGTAAAGTAAGTATGAATGTTTAAGAAAAATTTTATATATAATAGTTTGTATAAATTAATTTTTGACTTATTTAATTACAATTTTATTCTGTATAAAAATTTGGCAAAATGATATGCTTGTAAAAATTTAAATAATCAAAAGAATCTGCTCTTATATTAATTATATCTTATTTCAGTTAATATTTCTACACTGTGATCGTCATGTTGAATTTCATGCTGCTTATGGGAGATATTATAGGCTCAGAGTACCAAACTTTGGAAGAGATCTAAAATACCATTATCCATCATGTGATACATTTATTGTAGGCGATAGGTTAGTTCAAAAACTTCATACAATTGCATATATGTATTTTAATTACTATAATTGTTACTTAAATAAATTTATATATATATTTTTTTAAATATAATAGAAAATAATTGTTATCTTTTTGCAGTAATAAGATATATAGAATAAATCTTGAACGTGGTCAATTTCTGCAACCATTTGAAACGGAAGCGACATCAATAAATAAATGTGAAATAAATCCATTGCATCACTTACTCATAGTTGGCACTCAGGAAGGAAAAGTCGAAGCTTGGGATCCAAGAGTAAGGAATAGAGTGGGTGTACTTGACTGTGCCTTACACTGTATTACTCAAAACAAGTAAGATATAAAAATAGAATTTCATCCTTCTTTCATTAAACAACTCCCAAATTTCATCAAATATAATTCATACAAATTTATTATTAGCCTAGAAACAGTTCCTGCTATCACGGCATTGAAATTTCAAGGAGGTTTGAATTTAGGGGTTGGCACTTCAACAGGACAAATACTATTGTTTGACATAAGATCTAGTAAACCATTTTTGATTAAAGATCATATGTATGATTTGCCAATTAAATCTATAGAATTTCATCAAAAGATGGATCTTGTTTATTCTATGGATAGTTCCATTGTAAAGATATGGGAGAAGGATACTGTAAGTGAAGTTTCTTTCGGTTTTTTCATGTTTCTGTTGAAATCTCAATCTACAATATATCTAAACGAAAAGAAAAATTTAGTCTAATTTAAAACTATAATATAAAATTATCTGTTTTAATTTCAGGGAAAAAATTATACTTCCATAGAGGCTCAATATGACTTTAATGATTTGTGTGTTATACCAAATACTGGAATGCTCTTGATGGCTAACGAAACTAAGAAGATGCAAGTATATTACATTCCCAGTCTTGGTCCTGCCCCTTATTGGTGCAGTTTTCTCGACAATATTACAGAAGAATTAGAAGAATTGAATTATGATATTATTTATGATGATTACAAATTTGTAACTGAAAAGGAATTGGACGAATTAGGTCTTTCACATTTGAAAGGCACTAATCTACTTAGAGCTTATATGCATGGTTACTTTGTAGACATACGATTGTATAGAAAAGCAAGAGATGTAATGAAACCATTTGAATTTGAAGAATACAAGAAAAGAAGAATCCGCGAGAAGATTAAAGAGGAAACTGTTAGCAGAATACAGGTATCATTTTATTTAATCAGTTTTTCATTTTTTTAAATTATATTTGTGTGTATAATATTATTATATTTAAAAAAATAAAAATTTGCATTGTTTTAACATACTTTTTGGAATAAACAGGTACAAAAATTACCAAATGTGAATCAAGAATTAGCATTGAAACTAATGGATAACACAAACATTAAAAACAAGAAAAAACAAGCATCTTCTAATTTACTAAAAGACGAGCGATTTAAAGCTCTCTTCAGCAATCCTGAATTCCAAATTGATAAGAATTCTGAGGAATATGCTTTGTTAAATCCTGTCGTTTCTCAACTTGATAAAAATAAAGCTAAAAAATTAAAGCAACAATTGGCACAAGAGGAAGAGGCACAAGATAAACCTGATGAAGATGAACCTCAAGGTAAACAAAAATTTTAACACTATATTCTTTATGAGGGAAAATTGTTTTTCATATATATAAAAAACTTTATTAAACTATTTTTCTCTCTCCATAAAGGTAATAGTTCGGATGAAAGCTTTATACATGATAGTCCTGACGATGATAGTTCAGATGATGATAAAATGTGGGTTAAAGAAGTGCGAAAGAATTATCGATCAATAAAAAGAAATCAAAGAGAGGAAGAGCAAAATAGTGATGACGAAGATAATGATGCAACTACAAAGAATGAAACGAAATTAGATAAAATTAAGAATGATGTAAAGTTCCAGGAGGGTGGACTGGAGAAAAAGAAACAGAACAAGTAAATATCCTATCTTATTTTGATCTATATATTATAAGCATTTGCATTTTAATTCATTTAAAATTCAATGTTCCACAGAGCGACATTTGGCGAGAGATTAGAAAATGAAGAGATACATAATGTTAAAGTGTCTGGTTCACGTGGTAGTAGAGAGATGACTTTCGTCGTTGGAAAGGTGCGTTCATTAATATTTTAAGCAGAATAAAATAATATCGAGAAACGTATACTTTATTTTATTATTTTCTTTTTATTTGTGTAGAGAAAACGACCCGCAGAAATAAAACATCATCGGAGAGAATACAACGTGTTACGACCTGCAAGAAGTATTTTCAAAAAGAAATATTAGTGTTTACAAATTAACGCTTAAATCTTTTTGTAAATGTTGTAAATAATTTTTTTAAATATAAATATATAAAATTTTTTATATATAAAATTTCTTATGTGTAAAAATTTTTATCTATTCATCGCTTACTTTAATGCGTCATATTACTGTGTGAACTCAATAATTTTTGCTTACAATTAATGTGTGAATACACGTAGATATCTCCAAGCAAAGGTGAAATGTTATCAGAAAAGTGATATAATTTATATTCATATGCTAGAGTGAGCCACATGTCAAACACACGTCTCTATTGATACAAATATTTTCTTTTCAAGTTTTCAAGAGTAGTGTGTGTGTGCTCCTTGATCAAGGAGTTCCAAATGGCGTTGGTGAGTTGCCAACTATATTATTTTGATTGATGAGTAAGGATTTTTTAGTAAATAAAATTACAATAGATTGCATAGTTTTGCTGTTACAATTGAGCATTTCAAAAGTCAAATTTTAAATCAACTTTAGTTTTTGCAAAGTTTTCAATTTTAATATCAGAGCATATGATTACATACTGGTACTAAAACTAACAAATTTATAAAAAATATAGTTGATTAGTTTGAGAGACTGTATTTACTTTACTATATGACTGAAAATACAGCTTTTTATTTCTTAATATATTAAATTTAGTAGTCTTTAAACATATTTAATTATAACAAGGATTGATTTTGATTTAAATATAAATAAAACAAATTAATTTTGTGTCTTATCTATAAAATGTGATTAAACTATAATTTCAAAATATTCTCTCTTTACAATTTATAATTATTCATAGAGTTTATGGACTTCTTGTTACGATATATTTCTATATTTGAAATTAAACTCTCTTATATAGTTTTTTAAAGATAATTACAATTAATAAAGTAAATTGTGTAAGTAAATTTGTATTTTATATCATATATAATTTATAATAAAAACATATAACAATAATGAAATTATTGCAGGTAGAATCTAATAATAAGCCTAAAAATGGTAAAGATCCACCTCAGCAGAATCATGAAGAAGGTATGGAGGTCCCTGTTCCCTCAGTATTGACAACAAGTATAATAACACCTTTCCAAAGCACTGTAAGTAACCATTTTCGCATATGCAATAATTTTTAATAATATTATTATCTTGTTCCAACTATCTGATTTAGATTATATACAATCTAAAGACTTTTAAATTGAATCTGTCCATTGCATGCAGCAGGTGGACGAAATCACCGAGGATTATGAAAACTTTATCAGTACATCAGCAATACTTCATTATTGCAAACACAAAATACTCAGACCATACTTGAGATTGTTAAGCGTAATGGGATTAAGGCCAACTAGTAGCGATGACTCTGATCATTTCTTAAGATGTTCTATTCTGGCGAATTTTCATACTCTTCAAGTTACTATATTTATATGTATTGGATACGTTTTACAATATATGGCTTGTTTCAGGTAATATTATCTATTATCCTATTTTTTTATGTATGCTTTCCTTTCTATACATATTATAAGAAGAATACACATAAAAGAAGTAAAATATTTATTGATATGAAATATAAATATTAAAAAAGTTCATCAATAAAATATGTAATTATGTTTCATTGTCAGTATATTAAGCTTGTTTATTGGAAATAGATAATTATATGCTAAAATAAAATAGACATATTTGTTGTTTTGCAGGAGAGATCGTGGATTCTGTTACAAAGTATTAGTGCAGGAGCAAAATTTATTGAGTGTTAGCGGAGAAGCGCCCTTTTGTTACGGAAATGTGATATTCAGCTACTTGATCCCAAGTGCATTACATCTAATCGCGTATCTGTACACGATATACTTGTTTCGCATTAAAGAAAACGAACAGCTGCAAAATCTCATGGAGAGAGCGTTCCTGCTCTCCTCGAATCCGATAAATCGGGGCAATCAGAAGCGTCTTGTACATATATTATGGCTATTCATAGCATTGAGTATAGTGTGGATGATCACCGCATTGATTACAGTGAATATTCAGATGGCAAAGGGAAATATAATGTTTCAATGGGTAGAGAATAGGTAGCTATATTGCTAGCATCAATATCTATTCACAGAATGAGAAATATGTTGCTACAAAAGATTAATGAGATTATTTTTGTTTCATCCCTTCTGTACCACAGCCCATATCAAGTAAGGATAATGTTGAAAGTATTCCTGGTCATTTGTACTTTATGGCACGACATGATTCAGGGAACTATTATAACGAGCTATTGCTTGCAAGGACAGCTGTTAATGTCGCATCTCTACTTTCTACGCGGAAAGTTGCTCCAACATATCTTGCTACCCATTGATTGGATGAGGGTTTGTTGATTCATACCAATAATCTTTCACCTTGTACCTCGAAGAAAAGTCTTCTCTGTTCCATTCGCCTGACTTTACAGGACATCGATGAATTTAAGAAACTGTTGAAATACTTCAATGACGGATTAGGCCCAGCTGTATGCATCTATACTATAGTTAATCTGTCATGGGCTTCTACGGGTATCGTATGGCTGTTTCAATACTATATCAACGATGTGAGTGACACGTATCCAATCACGTACGTTAATGTGATGAATGTTGTATTATGGATCCTGATATCAGTTGCACCATTCATACAAGTGAGATATATTGCACCACTATACATCTTCTTGACTGAGGTGTAGACTGAGGTTCATTAACATATATTACTTTGTTTAAGGCTGCACGCTTAACAAATGCTTGTTCCATGATCCGAGCCGTAGGACACGAGATACGTATTCGGCCTTTCGTATACCAAACTACTCCAGGAGAAGATCTCGATAGTATACTTTTGTATACGTCTTCTCTGAAGATGAGCGCTAAATTGTTCAGGATACCTATCAAAGGTAAATACTTGTGTTGTCTGCTCACTATCGGCAGTATTTCTGTCCTTACTTTAGGACAGTGTCAATTTTTCTTATAATTATATGTAGTGTTTTAATCAAGACTGTAGATGCATCAAACAAGATGAATCGAGCAATTTTTCAAATATATATAAATAGTCCTTATAGCACAATTGTGCATATATAAATATATATATACATCTGTAGAAAATGTACTATCAATTTTCCCTTTATTTAGATAAATTATTTAGACCTAAAAGTTTTTTTATAACTAGCATTTATATATGTGATATGTAAATAATTGTATATTACAAATTATAAAAAATATATATATAAAATGCGCTTTGTTAAATATAGATCAAGAATTTTAATAACAAAATCACTGGTATTGTTTATATACTTCTGATATACATCTCTATAACATTGTGACATAATATTTTAATCAAGAATAGTAATCAAAAAGGATAAACGAAATATTGGAAAAGGTATTTTATTCACTCCTCATTATATCATCCAATACATTACATTCTCCAGTGATGGCAGTAATATTGCAACAGACTGGAACGAATTATAATTCACATTTTTAACTTACTTGCAACATGTAAATCTACAAATATTCAATGAATATCTTTTTTCAAAAATTTTGTATTTATTGTATTTAGAGGCTATGAGAGAAATGCAAAAGTTATATGCGTTGTTAATATGATACTAATTGCGCAATCGTTTATAATAGAGGTATATATACGGAAAAAATATTCAAATATTCAGAAATACACAGATATTCCCGAATTGGCATTGAAAATGAAATTAAAATCAATGATCAATATTGTCAATTGCTATTTGCATCTCCTTTCATTTCATTAAACTAATTTACAGGTGACTTTATCTGTGGACATGTATAAATTTAAATTTATTAGTTTCATAAATTCATTATGCAAACGAGAGTTGCGTAGCGCATTTTATTAAACTAATATATTTTATACAGCACACACATATTCAAAATTTCCTTCAAAAATTCTTAGCAATGTGTGTGACCCAAAGTCTTGAAAATTTGAGATATGAGATGATCGCAGAAATTGAACAAGATAATAGTCGATTTAGATACATACATTGTTAATTCTACTGGATAAAACAATGTTATTTTTATATCTAGACGCGTATTAACAGGGACACTTTTGTAAGTGAATAATTACAAAATAAGTTTTTCTTGTTAATAAATTTTCCTTCCTCCTTAATAAAGCATAAATCGCATGATATCGGTAAAGATCGAGAAATTGCATTGTTGCATTTAATAAATATTATTGTTTTAATAAGAATTCGTTAGTCTAATGTACATCCATAATTTTAGCATTTACAGGAATTATACTTAATTTTGACTAAATAGCGCATGATATTGACACTTTGTGGTACCATTTTTAGGAATACTAAACGTTGTAACAGCACCTGCATAATGTGTACGTCTTATTTCTTTCACCAATGATTTCTACTTAGTGATATTCGCGTATTTCTTAAATGTTTCAGATTGACAATATTATACATACCTAAATTTTGTAGAAAATGTCAGTATTAAATAAGATTTGCAACGTAGATACATAAAAAAATTGAAAATAAATTAATACAATTTAAAAAATTGTGAGTTTATAACTATAAAGATATATTTTTCGATATTAATTTAATGACGCGGAATGTTAAAGTCATGTAATGAAAGTATGACTTTTATTGATTTATTTAAATGATATACCTAACGTTATTGAGAAAATAATGTAAAAAGATCGTATAATCTGCATCGACATAAAATACGCAGCCTACAATCACTGGAAGTCAAATGGCAATCATTGTCTTAAATATTACACAATTTCAAAAAGTCATATCCCAACTTACTTATCCTTGAATAATATATCTCAAATTATTTTTACAAATTGCACAAGTAAATCTCTTTCTCTCTCTCTCTCTTTCTTATCAAAATAGTTTTATTTTTAATCACAAGTTTTTCTGCGACAAATCCTGGAGGATTAATTTGTAAATGATGATAAATAACTGAGAGCGATATTAAACGAGAATTTTCAGCCGCATTCAGTATAGATACTGGAGATATCCCGTATAAGATACTGAAAATCATATTAAGCTACTTACAATGCATTACCTCTTAATTAAAAAAAAAAAAAAATAAAATAAAATAAAAAAAAAAAAAAAAAACGAATAACGATAACTGAAATGTTGCGAGATTACGATTTATGAACGGAAATTTAGTTATTAACAAAATATAATAAAAAAACAAATTGTTCTTATTTCAATGGACTATTCTTACAAGATCTTTCAGCTGCCTCTTGCTTCTATCGATGACGATGCTTCGCCTCGTTGAATTTTTAACCACTCAACAAATTCGTCGAGCATTACTGGCCCTATAAAAATAATATAATATATAATAGAAAATGTATGCGAGATAATCTCTTTTCATAAAGACAGCATAAGTATTTTACTTGTTGTAAGCACTTACACGCTCCGTCTAAATCATAATTAGATAAATCATGATTGATTGTACGTGAAAATTCTAATATGTTGCACCACTGATCCTTATTGATCACTTTGTACTTGGATTGATCTAGGAACTGAGCAAACTGTGTAAACAGTGGCCAATGTTTCCCCAAAAGTAGTTGTAGCATTACTTTTGCAGTATCCATGTCCATACTTCGTTGATCTTTGTCCTGTAAAATAATAAAGTGAAATAAATTAGGAACACTGTACAGAGTTATTAAAAATGTATCTCTATTTGATATATTTGTATCTGCATATTTTGATAACATCGCACATACTCGGGCAAAGTCGTAAGCATATCTATAAATCCCTTTAAACGTGTGTGGATCGTTTAATTGATTCCTTAGGTACTCGAGCTTTTGTTGTACTTTACTAATAGAATCGCACTGAAGTTCCGAGAAACCCTTCAGCCATTCGCTCAGGGTAAAAAAGCCCATTTGGCGAGCGTTCATTCTGTATGCGAGAACGAGCATTACTACATTTTCGGGTTCTACACCGATATCCTCACAAAATTTCTCCATTCCTTCTGGTCCAAGAGTATCCGGATCGTCTGGCGAGGTATACTCTCTAAACCAAGTCATGCAACGCTTCTGAGAAAATGTCGACACATTGGATACATCGTCAGTTTTTGCATATCTTCTGGCACTGTGTACAAAAAAATTATTCATATTAAAAAAAATGTTATATAATTTGCAAATGTAAAAATAAGAAAGTATTACAATAAGCAAAATACAATGAATATAATTAAAAATCATTAATAATTTTGCTCAATTTCTTTATGTGACTATAAAATGTCATCAAAAAATATGTGCAATTATATTGTATACCAGTAACTTTATATCCAATGAGTATAATAAGAAATATTAATATTTTTAAAACAATAGGAAGGTCTCCGAGAGATGGCTGAGAGCAAAAGCGTAGTAAACGGAGTGCAGGTTGTAAATAATATAATTTTAAAATAACTAAGAAGTAAAATATATAAGGCTCAAATATAATTTTATTAAATTATAATTGTTAGCGAACATTTCGACCCATTTTTGAGCCTTTTTCTAAAGTTACATTTATTGAAAATTAAGTGAATACATAAATAATAATCAAAAACCGCTCAAGTGAAGTCGATGTTCCAGGTTACATGAGAAAATGCATTATGTATTGCGAGACGCTTGTTTCTTGGGTTAGTAGGCCCAATAACAAAGTAATAGAAATATGTCCTGGCATCTAACAATAAGATAACAAGTTTGTTAATATGTTAAACAATCATAACATTGTAAATATTAGGACATAAGAGGCAGAAAGTCAGAACAAATTAAAGTCAAAATAGAAAATAAAGTTAAATGTAAGTCATGCTGTATGATTTTTCTATTTTGATTTTTAATTTGTTCTGACTTTCTGCCTCTTATGTCCTAATATTTACAATGTTATGATTGTTTAACATATTAACAAACTTGTTATCTTATTGTTAGATGCCAGAACTTTGCGCTTAATATTTTTACTTAAATGTACAGTCTGAAACCTACCTAGAGGTATGTCTTAATCGTTTCGAAGGATGCCTAGGTAAACTGTCTTCATGTGCACCAGATACTGACATATCAATAGGAGTATGATTTGTGCTAGAAGGTCCTCTGCGCTTGCTACGTGGCATCCCTCTGTCCGCTGGAATACAAAAATTAACAGTTTCTGCTTAAACGTGATATCCTTTATTAAGATAATCCTTAATTTATAAGCTCCTCCAATTTTCTTATATTTTATTATAATTTATTATATTTTATTTTAAATTATACATATATATATTTATGTTAAACAGCTGATTTATATATAAAATCTTACACAAGAGTATTATATTATTCAGAAAATTCGTACAAATTGATTTATGAGTCTTACATATCAAAGTGATAGTCATCAAAATAATAGTTTTTTTCTGGAATAAAAGAATATTACAAAATAAAATATAACAAAAAGTCAAACTCGTAACAAAAACGTACATAAAAACATAAACAGACTTCCAGAAGAAAAAAAACGACACAACACATTTTGACAGAGAGAGAAATACAAAGTGAACATTTTGTAATACAATCACATTATGTAAACACAAAAACACACGCACAATCGTGCGCGCATATAATTAGCATAATAATACAATATATCCGCGTTAAGTCTGTCAAATCGATACGTCATCCGCGGGTGATGAAAAAAGGGCTTCAATGTCGTTTCGAGGAACGGAATCGCGGAAGAGAAGCGTGGAAAATGACGAAAATGCGAGGCGAAAAATTTAATTCGGGGGCGTTATTGATATCCAAGCACGAGACCCAGGGTGACCAGAATCGTTCCCGTAGACGAGGCGATGAGACTCTTACGTACTTAATTATCGAGCGAATTAATTAAGCGCTAGATTGAGACAATCGGGTGCAGTCGCGACGTATATAACTGGACTTTTCTCTCGTCGGCGTTAAACTGACATCTCTCCCGTGCCCGAGACAGAGAAGAAAGAGAAGGAAGGACGGGGAGGGAGAGGGAGAGAGAGATATATATATCGAGTTATCGCAGTCAAGTGAGGTTAGAGTCGCCAATTAAATTCGTGTATCACGCAATTGTCGGGATCGCTGAGTCGGCAATCCTCGAGGTTACCTGGCTACCTTCGGGGAAGAATATTCATTTATTTATACGAGAATATCGGAACAGATCCTCCGGATTTTCGACGACGTGAGTCACGTTGTAATATTAGATTCGATTATTCCCGATGACGATGATAATAATAATAATAATATTAATAAAAATAATAGCGCGAGAGAAAATTCCTTTACCTTTTCCTCTCTTCCTCGGGAGGGACTCACAATCACTGGAAATATCACTCGGAGGCGCTCCGCGTATCGGGTTGTTTTTATCGGTGGTTTCGCTCCCGCGAGGCGAGAAGTCAACTCGTCGAGATGATAAATTTCACGTCCATGGGTCGTTGCGGTGCGTGGTCGGGAGGGTATCGATCATAGTGCCATCATCGACGCACGACGAATACCGGATACGCCCGCAATCGATTTTCGCCTCCGCGTCGAGTTGAAAATTTCGTTCCGAGTACCGTCTGGGAGATACCGCACGCTCGGGAGAACGAGAACCTCTCTCTGTCAGCTGTCCGTCTCTCTCTTTCTCTCGACGAGCCCCGCGGTCGCGCTTTTATTTCATTCTATGGTAGTTTTCGTAAAACGGCATGCCTTTCCCCCACCTTTCCTGCCGTGCAGGCTTGCCAAACTCGCGAATCTTTATCTCGTTTGTCAAATTCGATTGTTCGATATATCGATTCGCGCGATATATCGCTCGATTGCGTCATTACAAATATTACATTTTCTTTCGCAAGATTTATATAAAAATTATTAATTAGAAGTTACTTTTTTTTTTTAGAATCCTTGCCTATGTGACTTCAATTTTTAATTTAATTTTATAGAATATAATTTGACATGAGTCCTTGATCTGATGACTTTTTTATTTTAAATTTATTTAATTTAATTTAGATTAATATAGAAAAGATACACCACACTATATAGTATATGCTCTTAATTTACTTGATAATTATGTACATAAAAGCGTATGAGTTGAATTATCTCGTTTACGGAATACTGTTTGTTATCCTGGTCCCATGCTTATGTCAACATAATGATAATGTATATACAATATAATATAATATGCAATACCTTATATATATATATATATATATATATATATATATATTACATATATTATATTATATATATATATATATATAATATATATATATATATATATATATATATATATATATATATATATATATATATAAGATGTATCTTTATATTATAAATTAACTTGCTGTAAATAAATAAATATAGATATTGTTTCACATGATTTTAATTAAAAAAATATTAATATGATAATAACAATGATAAAATTGTAGTAAATACTGCTAGTATTACAACTAGACAAGACATTTATCGTATACACATAATCATGTACCTTTATCTCATAACGTCGCCAATGCAACAGGATCGTCCTCGTCCTGGATCTGATAATTTGTGAAATCCGTACGGGTTTGCTTATGCTTCCGCTGATGCGCCTTCAACGAGCTGACTTGCGCGAATCTCTTTGGACAATCCGTGCAAAGGTATGGTCTAATGTCCGAGTGTATGCGCTTGTGGCGAATAAAATGGCTCTGATGATGAAATTTCTTGCTGCAGACGCCACACACGTACGGACGTTCGTCCGTGTGTATTCTATTGTGAATCTTTAGGTCGAATCTCTTGAAGAAAGTCTTGCCACAGGTCAGGCAAACATGATCGCGCACCTTCAAATGATCCCTTTTTACGTGCTCCTGTGTAAAATAAATTATTAATTAGTTTTACGATTTATACACAATAAAACAAGACAAAGTTACACACATACATACACACACACACACACACACACACACACACACACATATATATATATATATATATATATTATTGATATTGGTATAATATATTGATTTATTGATTGACTTACATTTACTTGAGACAAGGTGCTGTAGACTTTGGGACAAATGTTGCAAACAAACTTTTGTGGTCCATCCAAGCTATGATTGTTCATGATATGCTTGTTTAGAGTAGATTTCCATGCAAACGACATTCCACAGTCCTTACAATGAAATTTTTGCTGATCCGCAAAGTGTATGCCCATATGCTGCTTATAATTGTAGGCTGTTGAAAATGTTTTATTGCATACGGAACAGTGAAACTTTTTCAAAACAATTTTCTTCGGTTCTTCTGATGTCCCGATATGAATATCATTATTTGCGTCTTTATTGGTAATTATGTCTACAGATAAATGCTGCATATCATTGTTCACATATAATTCGTTATTCTCTATAACTTGATTGTTATTAATATTTTCTTCTAATGGTATATTATTGTCGACATATGCAAACAAATCTGATTTACTTTTAGAACAATTGGTTATTTTGTTACTATCTTGCAAAACGTTTGAACAGTCTGTATTGAGATTATTAGTAGATTGTAGAAAATTTTGATTTTCTTGTTCGATAATTTGAGAATCCTGCAATAATTCCAATAGCTGTTCACCATCATTTTGAATCAAACGTACCATCGAAGGTTCTTTGTGCGTTGAAAATTCTACACCGATATCAGCAACTTCCAATTCTAAAAATCTCTCACAATTTTCGTAATTCAGTTTTTCAAGCGCTTCGAAGCCCGTTTCAACATTGTCAAAATCCGCATGCGACTCCAATAATTCCAAAATCTCGAAATTGTAGGCTTGTTGAAAATTTTGTTGGAAATTTTCACCATGACATAATACAGAGAAATTCTTTTCCCCTCCGTGAGATTCAAGTTGCGCGTAATTAAATTCATTATTTATAGTAAAAGCTTCTAAACATTGTTGTTCTATGTGATCATTCTTCTTATTATTTTCTTTTACATTTGAATTTATTTTTTGACAATCTCCAAAAACGTTTGCAGTCTCCTCCATTGTATTCTCCAAATCCTTCTCACATGAAACGTTCTGTACTTTTTCCGTTAAATTATTTATTACATATTCATAAAATTGTTCACCAGTCTCTGTTTGTACTAAACGTAACATTGGCTCTTCATTATTCAATACTGCGTTACTCGAGTTATTGAGAATCTCTTCATTGTGTTGCAATAAATTATTTTGATCCTCCTTGGCAACAGGAGTGTATAATATATCATTAGCAGCAATATTTTCAGAATGTTGGAATTTCATTGTATGATTAACATTTACATTAGTCAAATCTGTGTTCTGACAATATCGCGATTCGTTTAATTTCAACATTCCTGAATCAGAAGATTTTAAGTATAATTGATTATCATCATTTAATAATTTATTGCCTTTTTTATTTTCATTGATAATTTCTTTGCATATTTGTTTGAGTAGGAATTTTTTGTTTGCTAAAACTTCACTGAAATTACAGATTTGCAAATTCGTTTCCACATTTAATGAATTCTTTATTACATCATTTGTGGAAGTCTCTTTACAAATTTCTTGGACTGCATATGTGTCTGAGTCTTGATTTAATCTCAAAATATTTTCATCATTATGGATGTCTGTTTCAGCAGTTGATTCTTTATCTCGAGATAGAAATGTAAAATTGTTTTTGGAAAATTGACAAGCTATGTCTTTGGATTGCATCTGTTCATTATATACTACATCTCGAGGAGAATTTGAGAGAATAGTTTTATTTGTGGACAAATTAATGCATTTAAGTCTTTCTTCAAGTTCAACAAAATAATCCTGAAATAATCGTGATTTGTGATATATTATCATTTTCTTAAATTATTTTCAAGTTTTCAAACTTTCCATTCTCATTTTATATTATATTTTTATCTATATTTTACAATTATAAAAAAATAAAATATAAATTTAAAATATATTTACCTGCTTATTATTAGATGCTTTATTGTCCACATCAGTGTTGTATTTATTAGAAACTATCTCATTTTGCTGAATATTTGAAACTCTAGCAGTATTCTCGCTGATACATTTTTGTTCTATACAAAATGCCCCATGATTTTTATTTTTTGTTTCATCATTTATTGTCTGAAAAATTAAAAAAAAAAAAAGAAAATATAAATCTCATAAATATAACTAAACAAAGTGTTATAAAACAAAATGTATTTAAACCAGCATTAGTTTGTACAGAAAATACAACTAAAACTTCTTTAGCAAAATTTGCAGCAGCATTGAGATCTAGCAATTAATTATTCCTTTGCAATTAATTGCAATTAATTAATACTTTAAAATTTCTACTGTGGTATTGATAATACAAATATAAAAAAACTAATATAAGAATTATAAAATGTTACCTTGTTCTTGTTCAATATACGATTCTTGATTTGTGAATTATTGTTGATAAGACTAGGATTACAATACTGTCTACTGTCCTTTGGTGTATGTATTTGTTTGTGTTTTGCTAGCGAAGAAATTTGCGTAAAACGTTTATCACAAATTGGACATACATATGGCTTACTTCCTGCATGTAACATAAATAAAAAAACCATTAAATTCATAGTTATCATATTTTAATACTTGAACATTTTGAACAAATTAATTGTTTTACTATATATATATATATATATATATATCAATATAAAAAAATTATGTATTTTATAATATATTTTTACCTGTATGTATTCTACAGTGTCTTATAAGATTCGATATATGGTTGAACTTTCTTCCGCAGACCTCGCAGATATAAAAGTTTGTACCTAGATGAATATTCAAGTGCATACGCAGATCTGCCTTACGGAAGAAGCCTTTTTCACATATCTGGCATACGTGAGATTTTTCTCCCAGATGTTTACTCCGATAATGATAATTCAATTGCGAAGGACGATCAAAAACAGAGTTGCATTGAAAACACTTGAAAATTTTCAGCATGTTGTGATGGATATAGCTCTCCCAGTTTTTTTACGTCACAATTGTGAACAAAACTCCACGTTATTTTCTTATTAACTGTTGTAAAACAATATAAATGTATATATTGTGAATATATATGGAACGACTGCATAAAAGTGACAGAACTTGGTGGTTTCGATTTTGAATCCTCACTTTAAACACTTCTGTACGAAGATATAAAGGCTGTGCAGAGAAAAATGAAAAATATCTTCATCCTTCAAATCCAAAATTCAACGTAGTAGATTACATTAAACAAGGAAAAAGGTGAAATCTTCTACTTTGTAAGCTCCTTCGTGACAGTCCTCAGAAATGTTAATTTTCTTAACCTTAATAGCAAAATAATCAAAATACTGAAGACCGGAAATGGGGGAATGGGAAAGCAGATTCGCATAGCGGAAGTACGTGCTTCTTGTCCAATTGATGAAACTAGGCACGCGATTGGTCTATTTCATTTTATATAAACTCCAGAATTTGTCGATTTCTTTATGCAAATAATAAGAAATATAGGATAACTGCAAAAATCGAAGCGAAAAATTAACTAAAAAAATAATAATAAAATAAGCTATAAATAATAATAAACTATAAATAAATAAGCTAAAAAATAAATAAATAAATAAATAAGCTATAAATTATATACAATTTGTGCATACTTTTGCAAGATTGTTTTACAAGTTTTGTTCCGTTGTGCCATATTATTTATAAACTTATAAAATTATTTGCTACATGAAATGTACATAATATGTTTCTGTAAATTCCTTCGAGGGATATTCCGTTACCAACTGAATTGCTTTTACATCTCTATAAGGATAAACAAGCTTCCCCATTTCTTCCCCTAATTATATTTTTGGCACTCCACATATATTAGCAAATGTTGTGATTCATCGTTAATTGTGTAAACCTGTTACACAAAGTTACTACGTCAAGGAAATATTGCAAACAATATATATAATTGTTTATTAATATGGTTCTTGAAATTCATTCATAACTTAAATAAGTATTCATAATTGTAACATAAATCAATATATTCAATAACATGCTTGGAGTTATTGTATAAATTGCTGAAGAAAATAATGTATAATTCCTATCAATTGATATTAATAATAATAAAATGTGTTGTAGAAATATATGTGTGTATGTGTGTGTATATACATACATACATACATACCTATATATATATATATATATATATATATATATATATATATATATATATATATGTAATGCATATTGCATTAATAAAAAATATTATTTCCATAAAAGTAAAAAAACTGAAAAATTTGTTTATTTAAAAACTAAATTATTATTGTAATTGCAATTATTAATATTATATGTTCTTAATCTAATAATCTGTTTCTTAATCTAATAATACAAGATAAAGATTAATTCTAACAAAGCGAATAGAATAATAAATTGATTTTAGAGTAGGATACAAGTTTTGTTCCATTGTGTCATATTATTTATAAACTTATAAAATTATTTGCTACAACACGCATCTACTTTTTTTATATATAATTTGAATTAGCCGCGTGTTGGAGCCAAAATGGCGGATGATTGCTGGATTTTTATTGCCGTATATCTAGTGACTTTAGCATCTTCATCGCTATTGGCATCACTAGTTCCTCACCATTTAATTTTGAAAGTAAACAGTTCGTTTGCAAACGTGCGATTTCTCCTTACGTCCTACAAGTTGTGCAATTTATTTAAGTACGTTATGCTATATAATTTATGTTAGTAATTAAATAATAAGTAGTATTAGATGAAAGTAATATTATTAAAAACACAAGATCAGGTTAAAATATATTAAATCGTCGAAAACAAAGACTTCAACTCTTGCTGTTTCGTACTCGTGTTCGTTACGTCTTCATAATTTCTAAAGAAACATTTATCTGAAATCATATTTTATAATTCTGGATACTTATAAATTTTTCTGTAAATATTGATTATATTTATTAAATATTGTACGTGATCTGTATTTATTATAATATAAAATAGAAGGATATTTCTTTTTATTTTCTTTATTCGATCTTTCTTCTTACAGAAGAGAGAAATAAAAGTTTCTTGTTGGCCACCATTTAGACAATAATGGGCAATTACGTGAGCAAGTTAATATTTCATACTAATGAAAATCAAAAGGAGATAAGCATTGAACAAGCAGTTAAGCAGCAGATGGCTGCAGAGAGCAGTATGTGTACACCAATATTATCTGGAAAAAAGATGCTGTGTGATCCACGTTCAGCTTCAGCAGGAATCTCAAGGACTCCTATTGAGGTAAATCATTTTCTGTTTTATATATTTATACTGTATAAAAAAATATAAATAATATATATTATAATTATACAGCAGTTAGCTGCACAAGATATGTGCACACCAACATTGTCTGATAAAAGGATGCTATGCGATCCACGTTCAATTTCAGCAGGAATACCAAGAACTCCTATTGAGGTAAAACACTAATAACAATTTGAATATTTATATGTGTATATATATATAAAAATCTATAACATATATATATATATGTAGTGTTATAGATTTTTATGCTTTATATATTTAATTTACTATTCTAAAAGTATATATATAATATGTTTATGCAGACAGTTGCACAAGATAACAGTATGTGTACACCATCATTACCTGAAAAAAGGGTGCTGTGTGATCCACGTTCAATTTCAGAAGAAATCTCAAGAACTCCTATCGAGGTAAATTTGTAATGATAATAAGATATGGGAAAATTTTTTGATATTACATCTATACTGTTTTAATGTTATATTCTAAAAACACATGATTAATATAGTTTAATATAATATTTAAATAGGTGAAGTGCAGCCCAGACAGTATAATAATTAAAAGAGCACCTACTGCAATCCCAAAGTATTTGCAGAAAAAAAAATATCTTGAAACTGATATGGACATAGTGATGCCACCTTTGTCGCCAAAGAAACATTTTGTACCGAAATTAATAGATAGTGATCAAAGATCAGATTTGGTATGTATTATTTAATATTAAACACATTTGAGATGACTTCACCGGTGACTATTATATGATAATATGTACATATGTATAATAATTATTTACATTTGCAAAATTATGACTGAGTTTAATAATAATCGAAAAGTGTAACAAAGTATATTTGCAAATAAATTAATGTTTATCAAAATTTTTAAATAATTACATATGCATATTATGATAATCTTACTAATATAAAATAATCCCATCAGCATGAATGGAAAGTTGTCTAGAATATGCTTAGCAGTGAATGTATTAATTCATTATATTTTGTTTTTCTCATATATATTTGTATATACAGTTTCATGCAGTATATATAAGAAAAAAAAAGATATAATGTATTAACATAATTTATTATTAAGTTATTCTAGCTGCCTTTCCATTCATGCTGATAGGATTATTTTATATACCCAACAATGCAATTTAGTTATTTAATATGCAAAGCAAATATTTTTATACTATTTTATTACAAATATATTTTATATATAAATTATTAGTTTTACAAGCAAACTTTATTCAATCACTTTACAGGATGAAAAGTTGTTAAATTATAATGTACATTTGTTATAGGATAGAGCAGAAGATTATTTTACACCAAATATGAATGTTATAAAAGGTGAAAAACCTATTACACCAATTGATAAGGATCGCTTCATAATTTTGGGATTAGATCCTAGATCTCCGGCTGCAGATTTCAACAGAACGCCTATTTTAATGCCGAAGTCCCTTGCATTAATAAAGGCGCGATCGCAAGACATGTTAAATCGCAAAGGCAGTTACGAATCGGATATTTACAATCCAGTAAACTTGTCTCGAGGAAGCAGTACTCTTCAAAAATCACTTAGTATTCCAAAAATACAACTCGTCACAGATTCTGAAACCCCGAAAATGTTACATATGGAACAACAGAATGAATCAGATATACTCTGTGCATCCCAAGAATCTGATTCTGATTCAAGTGTTTTTGAAAGCGAGGAGGAAGTTACAGTTATTAAGAACCCAAAATGTAAAAATGAAAAAGAAAAGTCATTGATATCAGATGAACAGATAGTTGCGGCCGATGAGGAAAAGAACACAGATGATATAGACAAGGATAATTGCAAAGATATTGAGCATGATATAAAAGAGATGTATATAAAGGATGACAATAAAATTGAAGTATGGCATGATTCATCGAAGGAAAATAAAACAGGTAAGGAGGAGGAAAACATTGTAGAAAAATTACCGCAAAAAAAAGCACATAGAGAAGACATAATTATAATGTTTGATGAATGTGCCACGATTAGCACTTCACCAAAATCAATAAAGATAGAAGAGGATTGTCAGAAGGGAGATATTGCAGGAAGAAAGAAAAGCATTAAAATAGATGCTAAAGTTACACCAAATGAGAAAAAGATTTTTAATCCTGAGGACAAAATGTATGGAACCAAAGTGCTTAAGGTAATTAATATTGTGAAATCATATATGTATAAAGCTATTATTATGTTTGCAAATATTAATAAACAGTTTTCTTTTTTTTTTTTTTAGAGTCGAACACCTCTTGGCAATCGATCTAATAATGATCAAGTACAAAGAATAAACTCACCGCAACATTTTTAAGAAATAAAACTGTGTCTAAAACCCAGCAAGAGAATACACCACCATGTAAGATGTATAATGCAAAAACTAAAAAGGGACATTGGGATCCAAATACCACAGTTTTTATTTAAGAGAAAAAAAGATAAAATAGCATTAAAGTTTAACTTTAAGTTATTTAAAATTAATTAAAATAGAATAAGAAATGGTAGTTAAACTTATTTAAGTGTTATAAGTTATAATTGTAAGTAAAAGTAGGTTATGTTACATGTATTCATTTTGAAATAAATAAATAATTATAAAATGTAAAGATCTATCAAATATATATTTATTAATAATTCAGTTTTTAAAACATATTTAAGTGTTCATTTAAGTATCATGTTTCTGCATCGCTGTACGAATTTGAGATTTTGCTGCTTGAATTGAATTTTGAAGATCTTTGCTGGATTCTATTAAATGCGTTACACTGAAAATACATTTGAGAAAGAAAATCAGATTAAAACAATGTAAGATTTAAGATGATACACAGAACTAAAAACTTATAATGTACAAAATATATAAGATATCTCAAAAGAATATTCCCACATTGCTTTATAGTACAAAAAACACCAATTAAAGATAATTTGTATTTGTATTATGTTGTAAAGTGAAAGTTTGAGATATCCTATATATAAATATATTAAGGATATATACTTTGGATCTTTTATAACTATCTTCTTTGCAGTATCAGGTTTTTCCAGTAACTTCACAGTAATTTTGTTCTCTACTTTCTTTACGTTACAAAATACATTTGTTTTCTCACTGGAACTTGATTTCACGATACTTCTGGTATCTATTAACCGTGGACGAGTAATTTTAACTTTTACATTATCGATATATTGGCCTTTGTAATTCTTCCTCTTTTGTAAGTTTAATTTTCGATTCGTGTTTTGCTGCTGACTTCCTGCCTGTATCACTGCTTCAGTTGGTTGATACGGTGCTGATAATAATTCTGATCCAGATGCAATGTTGTTATCATAGTTCCAGTTTATTGGTAAACGAGGTTCAGACACAGGTCGTGGATCTATATCCTGAGGTATTCCATTACAAATAGATGATAAGGTTTCTCCAGGATAACAGTGTTTGAGTCGTTCTTCAGTGAGGGGTAAAGCAGGATTTTTCTTCCGTCTATGATACTGTTCTCTATAATTACAAATTTAATATTAATTTCTAAAATAATTTACTTATTTACCATTAAAAAGTTAACACAATATTTACTGCACATATTACATATTATTTTTATTGAATATATAATATTATTGATAAAATATACTTTGCAACGAATTTTCCTGGGTTTGCTAAATCCTGCTGATTTCTTTTTATCTGTATTGCTACATCTTTACGGCGTTGTATTAGTTTTGCTCTTGTTTCTGCCAAAGTTTCTAGTTCAGGAACATAAAAAACATGCAAGACCCCTCCAAAGAAATTTTTATTATCAATCATTCGTTTTGCTACCCTGTGTAAAAAATAATACAGTTAAAATTACTAGTGTTAAACACTTATTTCTTTAATAGAAAAATACATACCTTGCGCTTTGAATACGTGCGAAATGTACATAATATGTTTCTGTAAATTCCTCCGAGGGATATTCAGTTACCAACTGAATTGCTTTTACATCTCCATAAGGATAAACAAGCTTTCCCATTTCTACCCCTAATTGTATTTTTGGCACTCCACATATTAGCAAATGCTGTGATTCATCATTAATTGTATAAACCTGTTACACAAAGCTACTTCGTCAAGGAAATATTGCAAATAATATATATAATTGTTTATTAATATGGTTCTTGAAATTTATTCATAATTTAAAGTATTTATAATTGTAACATAAATCAATATTCAATAACATGCTTGGAGTTAATGTATAAATTGCTGAAGAAAATAATGTATAATTCCTATCAATTGATATTAATAATAATAAAATGTGTTGTAGAAATATATGTGTGTATGTGTGTGTATATATATACATACATACATACATGCCATTCATACATGTACTGCATATTGCATTAATAAAAAATATTATTTCCATAAAAGTAAAAAAATGGAAAAGTTTGTTCATTTAAAAACTAAATTATTATTGTAATTGCAATTATTAATATTATATGTTCTTAATCTAATAATCTGTTTCTTAATCTAATAATACAAGATAAAGATTAATTCTAACAAAGCGAATAGAATAATAAATTGATTTTAGAGTAGGATACAAGTCCCCAACGCTACCTTGACTGCTGTCAATTTTTTTCCTTGTCTGTAAGGTGGTCGGGTTTGACACAATTTTTGCTGCACATGATGTGGCATATGTGTTACTGCAGTTCCTTTTTCTTCCTCTGCCATAACGTGCAGCAATATATACAATCTTTCGTTACTTCTCTTCCTCGTTTAACAATGGAGAATCTAAAAGAAAAGATAAAATGAAAAATATTATATATTAACACATTAAATTAGCGAATATAGCAATATAATTATCGAACAGAAGAATTTTATTTCTGTAATTTTTTTGTGTGAATGCTTCCAACTAAAAATTATCTTGCATACATCTAAATTTTTTAGATACTTGAAGATATTAAATTAGTCTTCCTGTTTTGTGACAATAATTATTATTATTGTATCTGGAATTATTGATTAAAAAAAAACGTTTGTAAAGTTGAATATCTTCGAGATTAAAAATTTATACTTGTCGACAAAATACGTATATTCGAAGCGACAATTCACGTCGTAAAGTCACATGTGCACAAAAATTCTGAAATTTTTTGTTCTTCAGAATGAGATGTAAAAAGAAACATCGCGTTGCCTATTTTTATACCCTCGGATTTGACGAGCCGACCGTGGGCACCCGGCTGTAAATAATTCAGGTTAGGTTATAAGTTTCATTTCTCCACGGCAACGCGATGAATTATTAAAAATCCTATATTTGTCATATAAATATAATCAAAATCACAGTCAGGCGTCAGCGAGAAAAATTCGAGAATTCGCGCGCTCTAGCGGCCACGTGACGCACTAAACAAAAAATGGTTTTAAAAATTTGCGGTAGAATTTCGGCACTTCCGGTTGAAACCGGAAGTGCGGGCATTTTTGACGTTTCGGGATGACAGATGACAGATGGCTCTTCGGGCGACTTCTTTTCTCGCGACGTGGAGTTTCGCGCCTTGGTCACGCCGACCGGAAGTGGCGGTTGAAACCGGATGTCGTCGCCCTAGAAAGAGAGAGAGAGAGAGAGTATAATATAATGGCGTTCGCGGCGGGCGCACATTCTTGCAATTCGTCTGTTATAACACTGATACCTGCATGCTGAGGAGAATCGGCTCGGTTCCTGGCTCCGCTAACTCCGTCGCGCTTCACCAGGTGAGAGACCTCTCACCTCTCTTCCTCGGATCGGGCTCGAGCATCGCCGAATCGGTTCGCGGGCGTCGTTACCCCGAGGAGAGCCGTCTCGGGGACGGAAAGTTGTCGCGAAAGCGTGGCGCCCGAAACTGGTGGTTGTGTACTCACTCACTTTCTCGTTCCGCGTCGCGTGAAGAGAGAAAACTCTCGAATTGTATTTGCCATTCGTCCCGGCGAACTCGATTCCCGATGAGGAGGTCGACAAGGAGCTGAGAAATCTCCGGAATCTCGCGTCTTCGTATACTCGTCCATTCATCGGCCCAACGTGTTTTGTGGAGCATCTCGTGACGTGTACGTGTTTTTCCTCGACTATTCCATTGTTGATTTTTCTGTCAATTCCGATTATTCGATTAATTATTTTCTAATTTGAGAATTAGAGATTTTTATTTAAAAATATGTATATTTATTTTCCAAGTTAGGTCATTTGATTTGTTCGAAGAATGATATAAAATTGATTTTTCCTTTTTTTCTTCATAAATTATATGCTAATAATCTGCAGTTGATAGCAGTCGAGAATAAAAATGATAATTTGACAATTAAATCAGATTAGAGAAAGTAATATGCATTTAAGATCATATTGGAACAATTTTTTAATCAGCACAGATTATAAATTATTAATTATTATTAATGAAATATAGTGTACAATTACATCTTTGATTAGTATATTTTACTTTATTGATTAATTTAATTTTGATGTAAATTTCTAAGTATAATAATTATATATAACATAAGCGGGGCAATTGATTATTTCCTCGTATAGCTCTAAAACACATTTATTGCTCTAGAATCTTTATTGCAATAATAATAGAAGACTGATAGGCATATTTTATTTGTTCAGAGTAATAAAAAGAATATTTCTTGTTTTTACAGACTTCCTCCTCAAGAATGGATCCGTCATTCTAGCGTCGTAATGTTATTACAGGCATAAAACATGCCTGATCCTTGCTGTTTGTACAAGTTGGACACCGTTTAATCGATTGGAATTATTTTCTGTACTTGTCTCTGTGCATGCACATCCTCTCATCATGTCTGCGAATACTCAATTTGCAAATCCGCCACCGGTTGTCACCTTACCGAATATGTCTGTACCTCCACCTACAACGTCAAACTTATCGGCGCCACCGCCGAATTTGACTACGATAAACACATCGGGCAGCTATCAGCATCGTTATCCGAATCACAGAGAAAGCAGTCGCGGTTTCTTCAAGCCCTTCAGACCTTATCACGCCCCAAAAGTCGTCGCCGGAGGACAAGATACTCTGCAGGATGAGTTTGATGGAAAGAGGCTTAGGAAATCTGTTATGCGAAAGACTGTTGACTACAACTCCGCCATCATCAAAAGCTTAGAAGTAAATACATTTATATATCTATACTAAAGTTTGTCAAGATGTGATTTTCTCAAGCTTGTATCTAAATTCTTGAATTTTTTCACAGAATCGGGTATGGCAGCGGGACTACAGGGATCGACGCGCGCTTCAGCCAGATGTAATATACTATCCCGATTTACTCCCTCCACCAAGTTACATTGACAATCCAATAAATGCAGTTACCACGAGATTCGTAAAAACGGCCACCAATAAAATGCGTTGTCCAATTTTTTGTATGGCCTGGACACCAGAGGGTAGGCGTCTTGTCACTGGTGCTTCGAGTGGAGAGTTTACACTATGGAATGGCCTTACTTTCAATTTTGAAACTATTCTGCAGGTATATTATATTAAATATAAGTACGTCAAAGAGATATATACAATTATATTTTTAAGTTATGATAAATTCATAAATATTTAAAATGTACATTATATTTTATGTATGTCAAAACATTCATGAGAGATAAAATTTTTCAATTTTCTGAGAATATTTTAGGATATAAAAAATTTTAATTTTATTATAGAGATGAAACGTAGATTATAATGTAATATAAATTGAAATTGATTATAATATAATATAAATTGAAATGTAGTCATGTGTGCGAGGCTATCTTTTTCAGTTAAATTGAATATAATTTTTTATTTAGCTAAATAATCGTATATTGTGTATTTATATTTATACAACTTTAGAAAAAGATTTTTCAATGAGATATCATCATTTGCGCTTTGACGGGAGAAATCAATTCCTCTGTTTAGGCACATGACAGCCCGGTAAGGACAATGGTATGGTCGCACAATGAGAGCTGGATGGTAACGGGGGACCACGCAGGCTACGTGAAATATTGGCAGAGCAACATGAACAACGTCAAGATGTTTCAAGCGCACAAAGAAGCGATTAGAGGACTCAGGTATACCATCCACCACACTAGTCCTTACGTCTCTCGCGCCACTGTTGCCGATGATCCGTCCATCCTTGCTGTAGTTAGGACATTGGACGTGATTCTTATTCTCTTATTCCTTTTCTGGTTTTGTGCCGTTTCTGGCAGAGTAATAGTGATTCTTGTATGGGTACACAGGTGATTTTTAACGAGCCTTTAGCATTGGATAGATCATATAACGCGTCATGAACCATGTGGAATGAACCATATTCGTGAAAAATACTAATTGTTGAACTTTTTGATCAAATTCTACGTAAAAGAAGTTTCGATATCTTTTGCCGAATTAAGAGGGAGATTTTCAAAATGGATAAATAAAAGTCTGAAGAGTCAAACTCCAATCTTTTTTTTCTTTTTTTTTTTTTAAATGAATTCCCGTAACAGAAAATATTTTTAGCTGCAGCAATCATATCTTTTAAGCACGCAACGGCCTAAGAATATAAATTTTCAATAGAATTTGCAAAACTTGATAAGTAAATATTCCTATCGCGTTGTAGAAATTGATAGCAACAAGACAGTGTAAATTTTTTTGCGTATATTATATTGCGCGTATCGATATATAATTTATGATTTGTATCTGTAGAGTCTTAGGGACCTAACTCTCGATTTAATCTCTCCAGTTATCGATAATGCGCTTATCGCATATTCAGAAATGGCACCCAAATTTTAATTAAGTTATATAATGCTATTAGGTCCTTACGGCTCTCGTTTTAAGGAGTTTATGTGGCTAGATTATTTATTCGGCAAAGATGTATGCTTTAGAATAACAAATAAAAGAAAAAATATATGGCAATACCTAGTCGAGATTCCTATATAATGATAAATAAAAGATGAAATATCCTGTGTCTCCTTCTTTATATCGTTTAAGTTTTCAATAAAGTTAAATAAAGACGTCAGACATTATTATTGCATGGCTATGAAAATAAAATATTTTATCTTTCGTTTTGTGTCACTCGTGCCCTTTCGCAGACGAAAGAGAGAAAGAATGAGAGCGAGCGAGCGAGAGAGAGAGAGGGAGAGAGAGAGCGTAACAGAGACAAATGATAAGATTACATGATTCATGTACACTTCGGATATTTTTTTTGTGCAATAAACGTTAAATTTTGAAAACAAATATTGCTCTTGATACATCACTCGGTGGTCATGTGGCATCAATAAGGATAATATTCAGTTTCATCGAGAATGAAACTGTTGTGTTCGCTCGACACACAAACATTGGAATCTTATTTGAGTGCCAGATATGACTGTCGCGGATGGTTTTTTGTTTATTTAAAAATATATATTTATACACATATAAAAAAAAAACGTTCCTTTTATTATACTGATCTCTGTCTATTCCTCGATGGCGCATTCGTAAAGATTCGGCTGTGTGTTTCTCTATTTACATACTAAGATCCAAGTTTATTTCAGGCCAATATATAATTTACTTTACGTATGTGTACTGCTCTTGTGTGTACACACTTGCTCGCATTTCTTTTTTCTGCTTCTTCACGCGTACAATGCTTTCGATATCAGCAAACAACAAACAGGGAGAATCATCAAACGGCAGCTATGACCCATTACGAAAAATAACAGTTTGATATGTATTTAATATTATCTATAATACAGATAATATTATATATCTACATCAATATCCTTCCCCCCTAAATATCATATTAAATGTAATTTGTATCATGCAATGCATTAATCTGCATTTATTTAATTTTGTCATTAATCTCTTGCAAATATTATTCATATCACAGTATATATTCTAGATATATTATCTAAATTAAAAATATAAATTTTGATGCAATCTCAGTTATATTAGAATACATTTCTCTGTAGATATTTAAAAAAAAATGTAATGTTTAAATAACTTTTTTTAGGAAAAAAGGTCCCAGTATTGATAATTTGATAAAGTTTTCTATTTTGCTCCTTCCATATATATATATATATATATATATATATATATATGTATATATATATGTATATGTATATAAAATTTATATACATACATATGCATATATCGACGTTGCATGCAGTAATAATTATAATAAATATATTGACGAATCGAATAATAAATATAGACAGTTGGATGTTTGACTTTTTAGCGATCAATTTATTAAAGGCACTTTAGTAAGTTATGTCGTAATAGTGTTTGTAAAATATATCATATATGTGTTTTTTTTCTTATTAAGTATATCTTTTTTCACTATATACGATAATCACTATCTTTCTTATTAAAATATTTTTTTGCATACAGAAACAACTTATAATTCTGTGTAAAATGAGAGTTTCAATAAAAATTCACACAATTTATTCAAAATTAACACAATTATATTCCATATCTCAATCATTTCTCTCTCAGAATATTAAATTAATATTTTACTCTCTCAGATTGATTGTGAGTTTTTCGGTGTGCAAGATAAAGTTGATGATTCCTTTCTTCTTCGTATCATTCAATTAATAAATTGCCCGAATTTATTCATAACTCTTCACGTCATGGATATATCGGCAAAATATAAAAAGATTAACGTAGATTAATTATTTCTTTTTAATATATACAATAGTACACAAATTGTTCAAATGTAACTTGTTTCTTTTTTTTTTGGACGCGTAGTTTCAGTCCAACGGATCACAAATTGGCGACCTGCAGCGATGATGGAACTGTAAGAATTTGGGACTTTCTTCGCTGTCATGAGGAACGAATACTCAGAGGTACAGAAATATTTCTCTTTTATTTTATCTATTATAATTTTATATCGAATTTTTTTTTATTTACTCATGGCTTAGTTTTTGTTTTAACGTACACACCTTTTATTTTTTTTAATCTTTCAGTTTATTATATATTACTATTTTTAATATACATGTATCTTTACATGTATCTGACATATTTTCTATTTTATAAAAAAAAATTTATGTAGCAAAAAAAGTGAAAAAATTGTACTTATAATTATAATGCTTTATTCTTTTTTTCCTACATCAATTTATTTTTAGCAAATAATTTGGTCCAGCAATGTATCTCATATAATATTCTTCTCCACAGGTCATGGTGCAGATGTCAAATGTGTCCATTGGCATCCGCAGAAGAGTCTAGTCATTTCCGGCAGCAAGGACAATCAGCAACCGGTGAAATTGTGGGATCCTAAGACCGGACAGTCCCTGGCGACTCTGCATGCGCACAAATCGACCGTGATGGACGTAAAGTGGAACGAAAACGGTAACTGGTTGGTGACCGCGTCGAGGGATCATCTGCTGAAACTGTTCGATCTGAGGAATCTTAGCCAGGAGGTGCAGACGTTCCGTGGTCATAAAAAGGAGGCCTCCAGCGTTGCCTGGCATCCGAGTCACGAAGGTCTCTTCTGTAGCGGTGGTAGTGACGGCGCCATCCTCTTCTGGCACGTAGGGTACGTATATATGCTTTCGTTCGGGGCAAATTTGCCATTCGATGAACTCTGTTCTTTTCTCTTTAGAATTTCTCCGAAGCTGAATTTGCATAATTTTTATATACTTATATTTATATTTTAATATACTATATTTTTATACTATATTTGTCTTTATACTTTTTTTCAGGGCTGATAAAGAAGTGGGAGCTATTGAGCAAGCGCATGATAGCATAGTCTGGACATTGGCTTGGCATCCGCTGGGACATATCCTGTGTTCCGGTAGTAACGATCACACATCTAAGTTTTGGACGCGCAATAGACCGGGAGACCTGATGAGAGACAAATACAATCTTAATACGTTACCAGCGGGAGCAGCTGGCATTGACGATCACGAGATCGGTATTAGAAATATTTTATTCAAAAATATTTTATTATATATTGTTACGGCCTTGGGTTTCATTCCCTGAGCCTTCGAGAGATCATTATCAAGGGAATTGTTAATAAACAATCTCCTTGACGATGATAAAGTCTACGAAAATATTTTAATTTATTTTGCCTTCTTTAGCTGATGAAGCAGCGGTGATACCTGGTATGGGACCGGAGGATAGAATCAACGCCGATGGCGAATCCGAGGACAAGAGCGGCGGAATTCCAGGTCTAGACCTGGATCATGCTGTGGATGAGGGCAAGAAATTCGCCAACAAAAAAGTTCCATACAGCAAACCGATACCACGAAACTTCCAAGCTCAGTGGAATGAGATGGAGGCTGAGGATATGGAGCAGGTCGAAGCGCTTAACGCGTTTGTCAATCAATTAATAGAGACTACACCTGGCGCTGTGCCATTGAACGAAGTCACGCCTAACGCCATTATATTATACGGAAAAATGATTACTGTAGAATGTGAGTATTATACGTATACAACATGTATGTGTTTTTAGAAAAATACGTGTTTATTGATCTACTAATATACAATCGTTTTTAGCGGATTCAAAATTGGCGGAGGCGATTACTAAAGGAACCGAAGCCATAAACAAATTAGTATTCTCCGGTGAAATAGAGGAATTAAGAGACGTGGTGGGTCCACCGGACAACGTGGACGAAGCCGAGGAATACCTGCAGGATGACGGCGAGATCGACTATTCCAAAGTACCGGATATAGATCTGCCGCCGCCATTGCCCAGTTCCAAGTTCGCGCAGAATCCCGAGCTCCTGAAGACGCTGAATCGCGGCGGCAAGCGCAAGTTCGATCAACTGATTGGTTGGAGCGACGGCGGAGCCAGCGATCGCACGTCCAAGATCCATCAACCGGTCTTCGGTGGTATTCCGATTACGGAGGATTCGCAGTCCAGCGATACGGATTTAAGATTCGGCAAGTCGTCCAACGCCGCGGATGTCAACTCGTTCCAAGACGAGGATCACAGAAGAGGCGGTCTCCTTGGAGATTCCGCGAGGAGTAGCAGTCGCGGCGATGAGGATCTGAGGTACGGCAGACCCGGTTCGCGTAACGAGTTCGGCAACAATTTCGCGGACAAGGATTTCCGCAACATCGATTTCCCACCTAAGAAGCTCCTGGACATGGACGATATGTACGACGAGCGGGATCGCGACGGAGGTCGTTGGTCGAATGATGAAGAGAAGAGTATGGGCGATGGTCTGCGCAAATTAGACGGTACCTACGCCGGCTTTGGCGATAAACGGGACAACGGCATGGCGGCGATGGGCCCGGGTGGCATCGGCAATAGCATACATGGTCACATGGCCGGTATGCCGCATCTGCAGGTGAATCACCACAATATGCAGAACATAAATCCCAACATGCCGCCGCCGATACCGAGTCTGGTGCCGCATCCCGGCATGCCGCAACATCTCGGCATGCAGGGGAAGCCGCCGCCACCGCACCCCGGCCTAGACGGCCCGATACCGCCTCACATGATGCCGCCTCATCCGGGTATGCATCATCCAGGCTTTGGACCCAACGGACCGCCACCACCCGGCGGCTTTGGACCCAGCTTTCGGCCGCCGCCGAACGGTAACTTTGGACCAAATCACTTCAGACCGAGTCCGATGCCACCGTTTGGCCCGAATCACCAGGGTCCACCGCCGCCGTTTGGCAACAGTTTTCAAGGCCCGCCCAACGCTTTTCGCGGACCCAATGCTGGCCCGATGAGCTTCGACCGGCCCGGTTTCGGGCCCAACTTTCGCGGTCAGAACCCGCAAGCTCAGTTAAACAATTTCAACTCCAATTTCGGCAGCTTCGGCAAGAACGGACCTAATCGCGGCATCAGTCGTGGCGGTGGTGACATAGGCAGAAGTGGCTTCAGCAATCGCGGTAGAGGACGTGACAACGATCAGTCGAGAGGTGGCAGAGGAAGGGACTATTAAAAGGATTTCTTGAAACACAGATGTATCGGTTGCACATAAGTGATGTCTTACGTGAACCGTAATTCACCTACATACCGAGACGTGACAATGTCAGTGTTGACTTATTGTTAGTGTGTAAAGTAATGTAATTGTGTCGAAATTGAATAACGATTGCGAATTCTCGTATTCGCATGCGAGGAGAAAGAAACTACTATTCGTATAAAATAAATATACATGTATATTTTTACGATTCGTCCAGAAAGAGGGTGATAACAATCGGATTTATCGCTGGACCGATTGATTGCATCCAATACGGATTTGTTGGGGTGAACTTTCCTCTTTTCCCGAGGATGAGGAAACAAACGAATCGCCAGTTTCGATTTTAATTATTCCGGATTCACTCGATCCGGATTGATGACTGTGCGGTGCGACTCTGCGAATCTGTCACGTGTACGAATAGCCTTCTTTAGAAGAATAGGCGAAGAAAATTGTAATATAATACGCATTGTAGAGGGATCGAATGGAACACACGAATATAATTATTCCGATAGAAACCGTGTCACAAGCTGCCTTTTTGCGAGGGGAATTTCTGTTCCGCGTTTGTGAAGCTCGACAATTGCATGTCGATCATGTGTGATCCCAGTAAAAAAGGAAGCACGAATGAGTGCGATTGAGATATTCCATGTTCTTTCGTTTGCTGAAGAATATGAGAGAGCGAGAGAGTGTGCCGGAACAGTCTATCTATTATTAATAAAACGAAATAACATACAGTATTCTTCGTTTCTGAAAGTCTTTGATTTTGCATGTATTCGATTTTCTCTGATCCTGTATAATACGAGACTGCGATAAGTCAACGAATATATTAGAATCTTGATGAATTTTCAAAGGAAGATGAAATTATTTACACTAGTGATTGGAACTGCGACGATGATGAGTTTTTATTACGGAGATAAATTTATGAGAATTGTTCTTCTCAAGATCTGTATTTTCAACCACATTCAATTTACTCCAAATTTGGTACTTTAGACAAATGGTGAATTCCCAGCAAACACAATATATAAATGTTACATACTCAAGCATGTTACATGTAACGTATATGTTAGTTGTAATTTCCCACTCATAGATGTAACATTTTTAATATTACATATATTACATTGTAGTTATATTGTCATTATATCCCAAAATAGCACTGACTTATTAATACATCAATGTGCTATCTTGGGATATAATTACAATATGATTACAATGTAATATATGTTATAATAAAATGTTACATCTATGAGTGGGAAATTACAACTAACATGGATGTTACATGTAACGTACACGTTATATTATTTGTTATATTCCGTTTTATTATAGCAATGTAACAATTATATATCGTGTTTGCTGAGTTGTAACGCCATTGTTTCAAGGGATATACCTTGCGTTATTTATTAATCGTCAATAAATAAATTGCTTTCATTTTTTAACGATAATTCGTGTTCGAACGAGAAAAAGAGAGAGAAAAAGGAATGGTTTTGATTTCTTTTTCTCACTCTGGATCAACCAAAATTTCCTGCCGTTTACTTGCTGGGCATTTAAAAGTTTATATTTTTGTAGCATTTTTTTCATTATTTTTATTTGTATATAAAAAAAATAACAGTGTATCTTTATATGAAAAACAGATGTTCGACATTTGCTCTTGTTTCGCTTGCATTTTCTACAATCTCGTGTCAGATTTTGCATTTTCTTTCCATTCAAAATTGCATTTTTATTTGATTTAAAATATAGAAAATTTTCGGGATCGCAAGCAAAACGAATATTTTATTTTAGATGTACAATATTGCTTACAATATTTAGAAATAAATATTGAAACAAATATTTTTTATATACACAGAATTAGAAAAGAGGGAGAGAGAAGGCGAGGAATTTTTTCCCAGTGTCACCTCCGAGCGCGTTTGAGGTTATGTAATTTGAAATAAACCACTCGTGCGATCAGCTGCTTTCTTTGTACACAAGATAAATATAATTAGTTAAAAATCAAATGGGTAAAAAAGACAAAAGAGGAGGAGGCAATTTAGGAAAAGCCTTAATCAGAGCTCGATTCGGATCCAGGAGACCTAAGAAAAATGACTCTATGGTAAGTTGATGGACTTTCTAACCTCTTCATCCAAATATATATATAATATTACGTGTGTTTTCATTGAAATAATATATAATGAAATCGTTGATACACTGATATAATTTCATATCTGGTGTTCTGTCATTTTATTTATATTATTTCCATTTTATTTACATCATCCTCAGAAACTTATGACATGCTGATGAATTGCTTGATGAATCAGTCATCAATGTTAATTTGTTAATATTTTATTGATAATTACTAATTTTCTTTTCTTTTAATTTTAATTAAAAAGGATTTTATTTCATCATTACATTTTCATTTTATTTACATCATTTTCATGTCATTTACATCCTCAGAAACTTATGATACGCTGATGAATTGCTTGATGAATCAGTCATCAATGTTAATTTGTTAATACTTTATTGATAATTACTAATTTTCTTTTCTTTTAACTTTAATTAAAAAGGATTTTATTTCATCATTACATTTTTCATTTTATTTACATCATTTTCATGTCATTTACATCCTCAGAAACTTATGATACGCTGATGAATTGCTTGATGAATCAGTCATCAATGTTAATTTGTTAATACTTTATTGATAATTACTAATTTTCTTTTCTTTTAGCTTATAACTAAAATTTTTAATAACCCTTAATACTTAATTAATAATTTTTTTCTTTATAGCTTCATACCTCAGAGATCAATGATGGTTACGATTGGGGTCGACTCAATCTGCAATCGGTTACAGAGGAGAGCTCGTTTCAAGCTTTCCTGTCGACCGCCGAGCTCGCGGGCACCGAATTCATCGCCGAGAAATTGAATGTTACATTCGTGAATCCTAACAACCATGGCTTGCTATCGAAGGATGTGATGAAGACGGTGCAAGAGAAACAGGAGGAGAATAAAGATTCCATCAAGATTCCAAGAAGGCCAAAATGGGACAATTCTATAAGCGCTCACGAGCTGCAGACACGCGAGAAGGAGGCGTTTCTGGAGTGGCGACGTCACCTGGCCGCCTTGCAAGAAGTGGAGAACCTGATGTTGACACCTTACGAGAAGAACTTGGAGTTCTGGCGACAATTGTGGCGAGTGGTGGAGCGCAGCGACGTGATTGTACAAATTGTAGATGCACGCAATCCGCTTCTCTTCCGTTGTGAAGACCTAGAGCGTTACGTTAAAGAAATGAATCCTAATAAACTGAACATGATTCTTCTTAATAAGGCAGATTTCTTAACGGAGGAGCAGAGACAAGCCTGGGCGAAGTATTTTACAGATATAAACGTACGGGTAGCCTTCTTTTCCGCTACATTGGCTGCGGAGAGACAGACGATTCCAGAAGAGGATGAGGATGAAGCGAGATCGATGAACAAAGATGAACGTGATCACTCTAATGACGAGGACAAGAACAGCGGAGACGAGTGGTGCTCGGAATTCGCGTCGGAATCGGAATATGAAAGTGCAGAGGATAACGTCGTCGATACCTGCGTTGTTTCTGATGAAACAGAGGCTGATAAGAACGAGGAACAAGTGGAAGCACAACAATGCGAGTTGGAGAATTTAAATATCTCCGCTACAGACACGGAAACGAAGAGAATAATCAATTCGCCGAAATTATTAAATAGGACCGATCTCGTGGAGCTATTCAAAACGATTTATACTAGTGATACAACGTATACAAACGGAGTGACGACTATCGGCTTGGTGGGCTATCCCAACGTAGGCAAGAGTTCTACCATCAATGCTCTGATCATGAGTAAGAAAGTCTCTGTGTCGGCCACCCCGGGAAAGACTAAGCATTTTCAGACTTTATATCTGGAGAAGGATCTCATGTTGTGCGACTGTCCGGGTTTGGTGATGCCGAGTTTCATTTCCACAAAAGCAGAGATGATCCTGAACGGTATATTACCAATAGATCAGATGCGGGACCACGTGCCAGCGACTACGTTGCTGGCCACGTTGATACCCAGACATGTTCTAGAGGACCTGTACGGCTTCATGTTGCCTGTTCCAACAGAGGGACAGGATCCGGATCGCCCACCGACCTCGGAGGAGCTTTTAAACGCGCACGCCTGTACGTAAATCTTGTGAAAATATAAAAATTTACAAAAGATTAAAGCAAACGAGTGTTATATATATATATATATATTTGTTTTTTAACTATTGTTTTTACATATTAATATCAAATATGATACAAGTTTCTACTATAAATTCTACTCTTGTTGCAGACAACCGAGGTTTCATGACACAGAATGGTCAACCGGATAATCCGCGTTCGGCCAGATACGTTTTGAAGGATTTCGTGAACGGCAAATTGTTGTACTGCAACGCACCGCCAACAATCAAACAGGAACATTTCCACGTATTTCCGCCACGACGCCGGAATTTGTCCGCCAACAGACATATACCACCTCGAACAGCTCGCATAAATAAAGGATATGAAATAACAGCTGAGGAGTTGGATCGGAACTTTTTCGGGACGCACCAGGACGCACACATGAGGGGACGCCATGGACACATACTACAATACACTAAAACGTAATGTCAAAATGTTTGTTTTATTTGTAAAGTCGCTCGTGTATATATAATAGATTGCGACAGTAGTCATAAGTCATTTGTAAGATCGATCAATGCGGGGCCTAAGTCTAAATCCAAAATCCTAATACCCGAATGAGACTTGCACGCGATTGAGATACAATATGTACAATTGTTGGAATATCGGGGTTCTTTTTGTTTATGTGTGTATTCTCCTTTACAAAATTCATTCAATCAGTACAATTTTTTTTCAGGCACGCAGGATCAACGATTAGTTTAACAGAATCGAGCGACGATCAGTCAGACAATGTGAAGAAACCATGGAAGATGATTAATAAACATGTCAATAAGAATAAACGTCAGAAAGCCCGAAGATTGTACGCTCATCTTGATCAACACTAACTGAGTGCGAAGAGTATCACACTGCTCTGTGCACTTTTTGCAAATCTAATTGTTCTTTGTAACAAATCTAAATTTGACAGCGGTACAACTGTTCTGTAATGTACGAGCATGTAAACATATGCCGTCACAGGCTTGTAATCCACGTGCAATCGTATTCATTTGTACGATATGCGAACGTGTATATTTGTATAAGTATTGTTGAAATTAAGTATTTTGTATTTTATACTCATTTATTTCCTACCTCCTGTCAATATCTTTTTACTCTGTATTTCATGAATTTCGATATCATTCAGACCCCATTTAATTGTAACGTAATGCCAGTTTAACGATATTTCCTGTGATATCGCGACTTTGATAGTACAATTCCGCGAGAATAATCATTCTTTAAGTAGGAAGCACAAGCGGAATTCTCTGTTCGAATTAAAAATTCGATCCACAAGCCGGTGGATGAATATGATACGCGGCATATATATATATATATATATTTTTATATTTAAATGTTATACACATAATTTAATTTCTCTTATAATTAAGCTTGAGGTTCGATGAACACCAGGTTTCTGGTGATTTCTCGTGACGGTAACGGACTTTCAGTAGAATAGCACGGTGTGCAATATTGTCCTCGCGAATTTGGACTCAAATTCATGTAGTAATTCGTCTATGTCATTATCTAAGTCTTCGCTATTCGCCAACTGAAACATAGGAAAATATATTAGCGGAGAGCCAAAATTTTCAAATGCAAATTTTCTAAAAAAAAAGGTATACATAAGAGACGATACCACTGTCACTAGTTCGCATATAAGAAACGATCCTACTGTGGCCTCTTCGTGATTATCCTGAATGTCGATATTGATTAAATGCACCGGTTGATTATCTTCTTTAGTCCTAGATTCCATACATTCAATTACTTGATCGTACACGCGTTCTTCACAAGTAATTAGAATATCAAACTTATCCTTGGACAATTGAAATCGTTCTGGCCTAGGTTTTATCCGACGATTCCGATCCAACATGTGCAATAAGCCATTCTGTGTATAACTGCGCTCATTATTAAGGAACTTCTCTTCAGCAATATAATATAACATCATTAATAAATCAGTAATAAGATCAAATTATGTAAAATCTGTGTAAAAGCAATTTGATAGAAGATTAATTAATTCAAGTCAAAAGCTTCTTTTGCAGAAAATTATATAAAATATATATATATATTTACATATAAATTACAGAAAAATGAAATTATATATAGTAGATTAATGTAAATTAACATTATAATTTATAGCAATTAATTACAGAAATAACGTGGAACAAAGTAGATTTATATTACAACTATATAAATATAACAATATATACATTTATGTCGCATATAATAATGTGTAAAGTATCAAGAGGCTTATTTATTTGTTTTTCTTTTTTTGCAAAGGATACTATTGCTTGTCTTTCATTAATAGATCATTGTAGATCTCATCGTACGAAGTACCAAAGTCATAGATATTAGGACGATCCGGTGCAGTTCCAGGTAACTTCACTTTGTCTCCAGTTCCGAATGATTTCACATTGAATCCCTTTTTGCTGAAACACACAATTACATCATTAAATAATATTCTACATTTAAAGTGTCAAACTTTTCCATTCAGCCCATTAAAGCCCGATTCCTCCGACTCGCAAGAATAGTTTTCAGGCGACAATATTTTTGTTAATCTTGGAAGGCGAAAAATCCCTTTTCTCTACGCAAAAAGAGAGGGTTTAAATTTCCGACGAAATAAATAGTTTTAAATAAATAGTTCCAATAGACAGGTTGCACGCGCTCGCGCGTTACCTTAGAAAAGCGTGCGCCTCCATGCTCCTGTTCATGTTACTGGAACATATTACGGCTACGCTGATGGAATTCGGCACCGGCATCTTCTCGCGCGTTCTATCGACCGTGAAAGAGCCGTGATAAAAGCGGCCGTATTGTCTCGTGAGCCAAAGATACCGTCACGTTTGAAGGTTACGTCCGCAAGGTTATGAGAGATGCATTTAATATCTGGAATATATGTGCGGAATTCTGACGTTTATTTCTCTCTTTCTCTCTCTCTGTTCCTCTTTTGATACGCGCGTGTAATATTCTTTTCTGATCTGAACGTAATACGAGCGCGATCCGGTCAAATGTCAGATGTAATCGTCTCCGAAAAGGCCATACGAAATTTTTCTAACGGGAATGGATATATAGTGCAATTAGACAGAGAGACCGGAGTCTTTGCGCTGTCGATAAAAAAAGTTGGCCGCTCTTTAGCGACATCTGTCAACGGCGTACATTAATTGGTACAGGGACATTTTTATCGACTGTGTTGGAATTTAAATATGGCGAGACGAGTGCGAGAGGAGAAACATATCGTTCCTCTTTGCTACACTTTTCAGGACTTCTAACAAAAGGCGAGAGAAAGGTAACATTTCAGAAAGACAATTTAATAGCAGAAATATGTAATTAATATTGCGAAAGCAGCTTATTCGCGGTTAAATGTTTAATTATCTTTAGACAAAAATATTGTACACGAAGCCGCGCGTTTCGCGACGAGTCTTCAGATATCGAACCAACAAATCGATCGATTTTGTCGAAGGGTTAATGTCAAATCGTACATGGTGTGTCAAATTGCGAAGCGAGATAATTGGTCTTAATTATTTTGTGCGTAAATTTGATCCTCGCATCATAAAAAATATATAATCATGACAATATATTTTCAGAGACGACGATTTTGGTCATGAAACATCTGCCTCGAACGAGAGAGAGAGAAGAGAGGGAGACAGATTCCCGCGCTGTGGCGATTAAGCCTTTAGCGACATCTATGAACGGCAAGCTGCACTTTATCAACAATATGTTACAAATTCAAACATGGCGAGACGAGTGCGAAAGGAGAAATATATCGTCCCCTTTTGCGACATTTTTACGGACTTCTGACAAAAGGTGAGAGAAAGGTGACATTCAGAAAGACAATTTGACAGCAGAAATATACAATTATCATTGCGAAAGTAGCTTATTCGCGCTCGAACGTTTAATTATCTTCATAGACTAAGATTGTTCTTCGAAGCCGCGCGACAAGATAATCGAGTCACTCAAATCGATCAATTTTATCAAAAGGTTAACATGAACTCGTACATGATACATCAATAATTGCAAAGCGGAATGTATTCTTATTATTTTGTGTGTTATAACAAATGTATTATCATGACAAAATTTACTAATATTTTCAGAGACGACGGATCATCAATAATTCAAAGAGAGGCTAGAGAGGGAGAAAGAGAAAGAAAGAGAGAGAGAAAGATTCCTGGATCTTTTCGTTCTGGTATCGATAAAAAAAAGGTTCTATTATTTTGTGTGTAATTCTTATCCCTGTATCGTAAAAATTAAAATATATAATTACGACAAATCTTATATATCTTTCCTGTTTTCAGGGATAACGGATTGCTGATATTTCAAGCTGACGTCACGAGTCACGTGTGTGTCATCTCGCTCGTCAACCATTTGGACGTGCGTGCGAATGGAATGTTCCCTTCAACGCGATTTCTTCGAAAAGTGTCGCTTTTGTACGCGCGAACGAGATTTCCTCGAAAAGTGCTTCGCTTTATCGCCTCCATAATCACCAGGTAGTCCGTTGTACCTCGCCGGTGATCGTCCCTGGAAGAAGCGAAACGAGGGTGAGTCTTCATTCCGGTGAGTCAAGTTATGTCGTTTACTCAGGTTATAAATTATAAACATCGTGTTTTTCGTCCGTGCTCCTCCGCAAACACGGCTCCAATCGAAGGAATTTAAGTCCCTATGGGGACTCGACGAAAGATAAAATCGAACTGATACTAGAAAATAATAAAGAACTCGGGGAAAGAAAAATGGACATGAGAAAATTACATTTCTCAATTTATTTCGATTAAACTTTTAGTAGATTTTTCCATTTTTTATTCAAAGCCTATCTAATTATGGAAATATATAAATAATGACATATTTATTTTCCAAATAAGTATATATGTCATACAATATACACAATGTTAGAATTGAGAGAAAAGATTGGCGTGATACGTCATTTCGCGAAATTGCTAATTTTATTATTATTATTATTTTTTAGAAAACGCGTGCGAAACCGTTGTCGACGATTCCCGTGAGCGATTCCACAATTTTCGCATGCGAAATTCGCGGGCGCGCGCAACTCGCGAATCGAAGGAGGGAATTAAAGAGGGTCGTCATTAAATTGCATAACGCGGGCTCTCTTGCAAAATCGCGAGATAATGGTTAGGCGCCGCCGTATACCTTGGCCGGCAATAAGCCCCGGCGAGACCGAAGATTGCGTGCCTTCGAGGGGCCCCCGAATTAAGGCGGGGCTCCCGAGGGTCCCTTCAATTTTGCGCTCGATGATTTCCACCGCGAGACATAGTATGACGCGATTCTTCGAACGGATTCGGCTCGCTTAGTTTAGGGCGAATCGCGGAGGAGCAATGAGATCGCGTAATAACACGATTATACAGACTGTCCCGTTTCTGCCCGTTTATTTTTCGCCAGCTGATCAATTTGCGGTCGAGTCTTCCTCGACGGCGAAAATGTCGAGGCATTTCGAGCCGTCGAGTAATTAGCGATTTCAAATTAGGGACGAATTCGGAGCTTCGGAAAAGAGAATGGAGAACAGATGAGTAAATCACATTTCTCAATTATTTATTAATATTCTTTTAATTAATTAATAGAATTATTTCTCAATTATACCATTATTTCTAATATTTTCGATCCGATTTTTAATAGAATTTTTTTTATTCAAAATATCTTATTATAGAAATGTATAAATATATTATATCAATATGTTTTTATTCTAAATAAAAGGAAATCATTATTTAAAAACAATGTGACATAAACGGGACGTTTAATGTTAACGGCCAATTGACCGTTTATTTTCACGTTTTATTTCTGTTATGAAATGTCCGTTCTTAATATAAAATTTATACAGAATTTAAATAATTCTGACAAAGCGAACATCGTAAATGGATTTGCCATTTTTATAATATAGGTATGTATATTTATAATATAATATTGAATTCTTCTAATTTAAAAATTTTAATTTGCCTAATTTTACACAAGATATACTGCATAAAATCGACACACATTTTAAGTCCAATACTTTTATTTTATTTATTATCTTATTGATATATTTCGCAAATGCGCTCTTTATAAAGAGCTGCAAGCGTATGTATAATAATCTCAAAAAAACTTCTCCTTTGCTATATTTTTATAATACATGTATATTTATAATATGTACATATTGAATTCTTCTAATTTTAAAATTTTAATGTATCACTAATCTTACACAAGATATATTGCATAAAAATGATGCACATTAAAAATCTAATACTTTTGTTTTATTAATTATTTTATTGGTACATTTCGTTAATGCGCTCTTACTTTATAAGAAGCTGCAAGCGTATATATATATATAATAATATTCTCAGAACAATTCTTCTCCCTTGAAAGTTGGAAATTATAAAATAAATTTATAACAGCACGAAGAGCGGAAATAGATCGCAATTTCGAACAACGTATGTGTGAGTCTTCAGCTCCTCTTATATCGTGTCTCGATTCGGATCGCGTTCCATTGAGAATCAGCAATGCTGTCAAACTTAATCTATAAAAATATACGTTATTTATTTGTACAAATTATACGGAATTTATATAATTCTAAAAAATAAAAAAGCGGAGCATATATGATAAATGGCTTATGCTCCACTTTTTATTTTTAGAATTATATAAATTCCGTAGGTATAACTTGTATAAATAAATAACGTATATTAATGAACATATCGAATTGATCTAATTTTTAAGATTTTATAATGTGTCACTTTACACAAGATACTGCATAAAAATGATGCACATTATAAATCTTATACTTTTATTTTATTGATTATTTTATTGGTACATTTCGCTAATGCGCTCTTACTTTATAAGAAGCTGCGCAAGCGTATATATATAATAATATTCTCAGAACAATTCTTCTCCCTTGAAAGTTGGAAATTATTATATAAAAAAATTGTAACAGAGCGCGAAGAGCGGAGATGAATCGCAATTACGAACAACGTATGAGTCTTCAGCCTCTCTTCCATCGTGTCTCGATTCGGCGTACGGAATTCGATCGCGTTGGATTGCGAATCGGCGGCACTTATCGGCGGTGCTGTTAAAATTAACGCTCCGGCAAGTAGCTCGAGCTACTTGTTCTTGGCGTAGCTTCGCGAGTCGTCGATCGGTGCACGTGCACCGCACGTTACACGGACAAACGGATCAACGGATATTGACGAAACCAATTTAGATCCACAGCTCGTGTCTTCTTCGCTCTTTCTCTTTCTCCCTTTATCTCGTGATATGGCCGTATAATGGCGCGTTATATGTACCTACGCTCCGCATGGCAATTGCTTCACCGACAGCCCACTTTAGATGGAAATATTTTCAATGGCGATTGTAACGTCGTGCGCGATCGACTTTGCAAATACCTACGACCGGACGCGATATGGTCCATTTGTCTTTACGTCAGATTATATTATATACAGTTACACGCACGATCATGGATTTTTGTAATAAAATATATATATATGTGCACAGAGAGAATTTTCTTTTAGAATTTAACCTGAAAATCGCAATTGTGGGACAATATGATATTGCAAGAATTTTATAAGAGTTTCTCTGATTAAATATTGAAATATTTACTACAATAAAAATATTAATATCTACTATAATAAGATATTTAAAATATATTCGATTAATATTTTATTAAGAACATAGTAAAATTAATCGAATATTAATTCCCATATTGTCCCACATTTTCAGGGTAAATTCTAAGAAAAAATTCTGTATATATATTTTTTAAACTCTAGTAAAAGCCCAGACAGCCAAGTATAAAATTAACGCATAAGATATCATTAAGAAATCTTTAAGAAATCTTATGATATGATCAAAAAGACATCTTGAAGATATCTTAAAGATATCTTATGCGCCAATAAATAATGAAATAAATAAATTCAAGATATTAGATAAAATAAATAAATATAATTGGAGCATTTCGCATGAAATATATGAGAAATCATATTTCTTTGTCATTAATTTATGTATATCTATAACATAATAATATATACATTTATTAATTGCAATTAATATGAAAAATCGAATAAAACTAATATTGAAATTGAACAAATAATATATTATTCAATTCTAATTTTGTTTTTAT